TTTTTATTCCCTACTGATCGATTTACCATTATCCTCTCCTAGATCATTTCAAACCTTTTCATCTCAACCCCTCCCCTACCTCTCAACAGAGAGCTTTTATCTCCTACTTATTTTGCCAGTGTAGCCAGTGTTGCCTGGGGGACCCAAGATGTGGAGAGTAACCATGGCAACCAAGAGGCCTTTTAGCCAGAGTTTACAGGACCTCTGACGTTTCATATTGGAGTAAGTTGAGAATGCTAGGAAGGAGGAAATGACAAATCTATTTTGGCCAAGCTTTGGAGGTGTTAGAGCAAAGAGGCAGCACTACAATGATGGGAATCTGTCAGGGAAGGTATTGCCTCCAGAATATTCAGGCAGAAAAATAGTATAAATGTACACTACCATTGACCTAAAAGAGACCCAACAAGGATGTTGGGAAGCCCAAGGTATGGGGACAGTTTCAAACAAAGCCAGAGGAAGTGGTAGGTTGCGGAGAGCTGGTAAGCCATATATACATACACTGAATCCCTCTCACCTTCCTTTTCTCCTCCTCTGTCTGTGGTAGGTTTCTATGATCTATTCAGTATTGGAAGTATTCACTATCTGTTTTCCCTTCTCAAGGAGAAAAATGAAGGGGGAAGGCCTATTCTGTTCTCTATCACTTCCTATGCAGGGACTGGCATTCCAAATGAATTGTTGCTTAAATGATTATTGTCTTTTTGTTGCTTATGAATTTATTACCCTTGATATTTTAAAAAATGGTAGTCACCATCATTGACTAGTGTTATTTAATGATGGAGAGTTTGGGAGGGTTTTTTGCCTTTAAAGAGACAGGAGACTTTTTTTCTCTTTTGGTGAAAGGGGGGAAAGGGAAACCCAGAATTCCCAAGGGAGAGGAAAAAAAAGCATATAAATCATTATCATCTCCTAGACCTAGTCAGTCAGTCAACTAGTAAGAGAAACCATTGGGGCAATATGTTATTATCACAACAATCATTATTACTGTATGTGAGCCTTGTGTCTTAACATGTATCTTGCAGCAGCTAGCATCCCCTCCCGCACCCCCCAAGATTACACCACCAGCTTCCTGACTTTGGCTTTTAACCTTCTTCTGAGCTTTCTCCTATTACCTGGCTCAGCCAATCCACCCAGGACAAGACTTCACCAAAGACCTGCCAGCTTTCTTGGCTTCCAGAACCTTTTCCAGCAACCTCCAAACCCCTCCCCCAAGGGCCTTCTCCAGCACATTGCCAATATATAAACCCTGCAACTTATCCCCAAGTGCCTGCTTGCTTTTGCCCACACACCTCAACGTAAGCTACAGTGTCTTCATATTTACCACCTCTTTGCACTATGCTCTCTGACATATTTGCTCCTTATTTAACAGTCTTCCTTTCATATAAAACTCTGATTTTATTACTCCTTCCATCTCATGGTACTGAGACCTGAGTTCCACTTGTTGACTCTGTTTCCCTCTCCAGTTCTAGACTCTACTTCTATCACTGTCACTCAGCAGGATCTCCTCCTCTGAGGTTCATGATTTCCAGATTTATCCCCCCCAATCCAAATCTTGATGGCTGTTATCTAATGCACTCTAGGACATCATTCTTCTTCTTCAATAAATTCAGTTCCTGGTTCATAATTTCTCAATACCCCAACTCTTACATTCCTATTAGGGGACTTTAATATACATATTGATGGTCTCTCAAATACCCTTAATTCCATTGTTTTCAATCTACTCACTTCACATGTTTTATTCCTGCCATTCTTCCTGAGCTTCCTGCCCAAAGAAATGATCATGCTCTTGATCTTGCCATCACCCACAAGTGTTCCACTTCTAAATTCTTTAACTCCAAAATTCTTCTGTCTGATCATAATCCATAATATTCTATTTTTCCCTATGTATTTCCACATTTTTATCCTCACTATAGCCTTCATTCCCTCAATTCCAAGTCCTTTCACAGATTATTACCTTTTCATCAGCTACTTTCTCCTCTTTTCATTATCTAAACCCCTCAGTGTACGATTCAACTCTATAATCTTGAGTCCCTTGCCCTTTGTCCTACCATTGACAACACTTTGCCAAAACCCAACCTTGGGTCACTTCTACATTGTTCCTCATTCCCTCCTATTCATGTACTGCTAACTAGAACTGTAGGAAATCATAAGACCATATCAGTTCCAATATAAATGTGTTATATAATCTCAACTAGACCCTCACTGCAGCAAGGTGATCATTCTACCCCTCCCTAATCAACTCTCCATCCCACTCTCCACAGCAGCTGTACTAAACCCTCATATCTTCTGGTGCCTTCCTCCATCTCCACCTTCTTTGCTGAGGATCTCAACTCATCATCACTGAAAAAATTAAGGTTATTCAACAACAACTCCTTTTCTTCAACCCTCATCTTCCTTCATCTTGCCCCATTATTTCCTCCTTCAATAAGTCTCTGATAATAAGGTAACCCTTCGGCTTGCCAGGAATAGTACCTCTATGTGCAAGGCTTTTTGAAGAACTGTGTCTGAAAAAGGGAGGAGAGACATAGGATAATAGCTTGAAGGGATGGTAAGAGTCCAGTGAGCATTGTACAACTTTATCATCATAACCTAAGAGAGCTGAGTGCCATACTTCTCAGAAGTTATCAAATCACTGTCATCTTAGGAAGGAAGGGGTTCTAAAGTCCAGAAGTTTCTCAGATTTAGCTTCCAGGAAGACGAGGACAGATAACATTTGGATATAGTTCTGGTTGACCCTCTCTGACCTTTCCTTATTCCATCCCCAGCTCAGAGTCCCTACTCTCAAAGTTCCTACCCCCTCAAAAGGCTCCATTTACCTCCAACTCCCCCTCAATTTGCAAGTCTTCTTTTCCCAGGGACAGTTCAGACAAATCCTTCTTGGAAAGTCCTTGGGAGATGAAGAAGTGATATTGTTGGGAAGTGCCTTTCTTTTGAACCACATGAAGGTGAATGTGTAATTTGCCTGGAAGAAAGGGCATTCTTGAGTTAGCAATCCTGGAATGGCAAAAAGGGAGTTTTTATCCAGCCATCAAGGAAGAAGAGAGCAGCTCCTCAGCATAGGCCCCAAAAGGTGCATAGATTTGGTATTCTGCCCCCTTGCCCTATACAACAGTGTCCCAGGGAGGAAGATGACATAATGACCTGGGGAACTGAGAGGGTAGTGGTACAGAGATGATTTCATTATCAACACTAGCACTAAGTTTGCACTGGAAGAGTTAGCTACTTTCCTACAAATGACCCAGAACTGTGAGGAGGATCAGTGAATGTATTAGAAATATCCATGCTGTGGCCTAGATGTTCCTGTTACTTTTCCACTTTTCCTGTCTATGATCAATGGACACACTGAAATGCAAAGATTTACATTATCCTCCCCACAAACCAATTCATTAAGAATTGGGACTTACTCCTTACTTACACAGGACTTTTTGTTTGTCTTTTTTTCTCTTTTTTAGTTTTTATTTACCCAAGGTTTCCCTCTGGTAACTTTCCTACACCAGGCCTTTCACATCTTTGAGATTAGTTTGTCTAGTAGGAGTCCTAAAGCCATTTAGGTGGTTGAAGGTCAAGACCTTTAGGACATTGGGACCTCTAAGAAGTGGCCTGGTAGGAGCAATCTGCCTTGTAGTTTAGGCTAATTTTTCCTTAAAAGCAGCCTTAGAATTAATTGGCTGGGAGAACTTAGCTCAATTTCTTCAGTATCTTTGGCTAACTCATTGACTTAGCTACCCGATGGCTTAAGTACAAAAGCCAAGAAGGGGACAGGAGTAGCTGTCAGGCTTGACCAGCACAACAGCATGGCCAACACATCAGCAGGGAAGCTGTGCTTAGCTATGTTTTTAAAATTTTTTTTTCTTTCAAATGTCCAAAAGGCTTTATAGTGTAATGAATAATGAACTAGCCTCGGAATCCTTAGGACCAGTATTCAAATATTACCTCTAACACCAGTGTGTGATCATGTGATCACTTAACCTCTCAGTGCCCCCAGGGAACCCTCCAAGATTTAAAATTACAGATAGGCTGCCAAACCGCCCAAGTGGAGAGAATTTCTTTCTTTCCTCTTTTTTTTTAAACATTTTAATTTATCCCATTAAATATTTCCCAATTCCATTAAATTTTTTGTAACATTTAAAAAAAAATTTGTTTCAAATTCTCCCCTGCCCCTCCCCCATCCGTTGAGAAGGCAAACATCCCACGTGAACTCACTCAAAATATATAGTAGGTGGAAAGAGTTTCTACATCAGGAGTTTCCAAACTTATGAGACCACAAATCTGGAATCCCATCCCTATTAACGCCAAAATTCCCTGGTGCTTTGCCCCAGTAGGTGTTTCTTGTCTACTGAAATTTGCTTGCTAATCTCACTTTTTCAAATTTATACAATTTTTCTAACATACTTCTATCTCTTTAGCAGAAATGTTCGGATCTCCCTTAATATCAATTTTCCCGACTGAAAAATAAGGGAATGAGAATCCTTACTAAGACCTAGAGACCTGGAGGCTTTGGCATGATAAAATCAGAAGAAATGGGGAAGCTTATGGAAGGATCTGGAAGCCATTATTCAACCTCTAGCGTCCCGAGCTGGAGAGCTGCCCAGGGGCAGAGGACCCACGACCACCCTGGACCGCGGCCCCGGGGATCCCCAGCCCGCTCTCTCCGGGCCAGGCGCTCTTGCCGCCATTCATTGGTTCAACCAGTCCCCAGCGAGGCTCCCCGGGCCCCAAGAGGTGGGGGAGTGATGGGGCCGAGAACTTTCGGTCTCCTGGGGCCCTAGACAGCATGACTGAGCAGGGGCCTCCCCAGCGCCCGCAGCCGCGCAACCTCCAACATCGCCTCCATCTCCTCCCCGGGTTAGAATATTCCGGAGTCCAGCCCCCGCCCCTCCTGGTTACCCAGGAAACCGCCGACAGGGAGGGGGAGAAGCGGAGAGGAGGAGGAGCAGCGAGGGGCGGGACTTCCTGGGATGACGCACCCCCGCTCCGCTACAAAACTCGCCGGATGCGACGCCGCGAGCGGAACTTTCCAGAAAACTCGGCGAGAAGCGGAGGGCAGCTGCTGGCACTGCCCGAGCTCAACGCACTAGAACTCGCGCCCCCCTCCCCCAGTCCTCTCTTTTTCCACTCCATCCCCCAACATCCCAACCGGCTGCTGGGCAGTCCTCTCTCACCCCACCCCGGACGGGCATTTCGACACCGGGTGTACCGCGAGCGTCGCTCCCCGGTAAGTCCATCCCTTCTCCCTCACCCCAGCTCCCCACCCCCAGCCCCGTCGGAGGTGAGCAGCCGTAGCGCCTTCGAGACCCGGGGAGGCCGTTGGCACCCCTCTCGAGGGAGCGGGGGCCGGTGCCCCAGATTTCCGAGGGGTGTCGCCCCCGCTCTGCAGCCTGAGCGCTAGACAATGGGCTTGGCGTCCTCCCTCGCGTCTCCTCCGCCTCCCCCGACCCTCCGACCCTCCTCCATCTTTCCGCGATGTCGTTCGCTTTCCTCCATCCTCTCCTTCCCCTCCCCCCACCCCGGTCTCCTCGGTTCGTGCGGGGGGGAGGGGCCAGCGCACCTATTTGCCGGGGTACGGGGGCGCTGCGTGCGCGCTCCCCTCTGCGGGCGCGTCCCCGCCCCCCCAGCCTCCCCTTGGAGGAATCCTCCGTTGTGGTGGGGGGGGGGGTGAACGCTTCATCTCCTCCCAGCCCCCCTCTCCCCCAGGCTCCAGAACACCCTAGAGAGGCGGTGACCCCCAGTCGGGTCAGCAACGCGTTGATTTAGGCCCTACTATGTGCCGTGCACAGCGCTGAGCGCCGGGGATACCGAGAATGGAGGAAAAAACCCGCAAATCCCTGCTCCCCCGGGAGCTCCCGTTCACATGGGGGAGACGGCACACACATGGATAGCTACGTGGAGATGATCATCTCAGGGAGGGCGCTCCTGGAAGGGCTTCTGCTGGGAAGTCTTGGGAGGTGGAGGAGGAGAAGATCCGAAGGGATACGGACTCGCCTCCGCCTCCCCCGGGCCTTGCCAAGAGGGGAGATGGAAAGACTCTCCCGTGTGCTCCTGCCGTTGGGGCTGTTTTTTGTTTTTTTTTTTTTTAAAACCCCGAAACCCTCGTGGCTTGATAGGTAAGGCGGTCAGGTGACATGAATAAATTGCACAAGATTAAACTGTGGCCACCGCGGAAACCATTGGTCTTTAAACATCCGTTTTCATCAGGAGTGCAGCAATATTAAACACCTGCTATATGCCTGGTACTGTGCAAACAGAGAAAGGAAAAAGAGTGGTCCCTGCTCTCAAGGAGATGGAAATGTAATGGGGGAGACAACATACAAATTGTGTATAAATAGGATACAGTCGGGATAAATTTGAGATAATAAATGGAGAAAAGGCACTATAGTTGAAGGGGATCTGAAGAAGCTTCTTATAAAAGATTGATTTTAGCTGGGTCTTGAAGGAAAGCAGGGAGGTGTGGGGATGAGGAGGAAGAGAATTGGGGGAGGGGGGAGGATACGGTGAAGCCCTGTGATTGTGTCTCCTTCGGGGCTTAGACAAGAGTCTAGTTTCACTGGATACCTGAAGGGAGAGGGAGGACAAAGGTGTAAGAAAACAAATCTATGAGGGACAAGATTTTTTTTTTTAGTGGATATTGGGTAATATGAGGTCGTGTAGCAAGCCCTCGATTGTTCAAAGCCTCCAGTTTATTTACACCTCACTTTTTACTTTATAACCACACATTTCCTCAGGGTGTGGGATAGAAAAAAAAGTGAGAAAGCTTTGGTAAGAGTGAAATAATAGGATAGGAAGATTGGAATGATAGTTAAAAGCCTTTGGGTTTTGCCTATGTGTTAGATTAAATCGATATTTTCCATTATGTAAGTTTATAATATGTGGCCAGATTTTTAGTTCAAAGGTTGGATGTTGGCTTGGTTATAACATTCTGAAATGTATAATCTGATTTGGTGGTCTCAATTGATTTTAAGGTGAAACTTCAAATTGAAAGGTACCTTAAAGTTGTGTTTTTAATTGCAGGCTATAAAAAATGGTGAAGGAAACTACTTATTATGATGTTTTGGGGGTAAAGCCCAATGCCTCCCAGGAAGAACTAAAAAAGGCATATAGAAAATTAGCCTTAAAATATCACCCAGATAAGAATCCAAATGAAGGAGAAAAGGCAAGTATTTTTTACTTTTTAAAAATTCTTACTATTTAATACTAAAGATAGAATGAAAGAAAAAATCCTTTGATAATTAACTTTGATAACAATTGTCCTGTTTATATTGCAGGTCCTAGTCTGAACTTATTTATGTTTTGCTGTTGTTTACATAGCTGTAGATAGTTTTACATAAATATGTATTAAATGTGAAATGAATAGAACTTAGATTTTCAATATGTTGGCTAAATCTTCTTAAAAGAACTTACTTTACAATATGGCCTTTTTTCTTTTTTTAATAGTTCAAGCAGATTTCTCAAGCTTATGAAGTGCTTTCTGATGCAAAGAAGAGAGATTTATATGACAAAGGTGGAGAACAAGCCATCAAAGAGGGTGGTTCTGGTGGTGGCTTTGGTTCTCCAATGGATATCTTTGATATGTTTTTTGGAGGAGGTGGAAGAATGCAAAGGGAACGGAGAGGTAAGGTTTTGCCAATCTAAAACAAGGATAAGAACAAGGTGGCACTAATTGGGAGAGCTGATTGTTAAGCTTCAGAAGTTTATAAGTATAGCAGTGTGTGATTGCAATGTTACACCGACTTTGTTGTACTTGAAGCTCATTAAAACATGAACACTTTGGGGCAGCTAGGTGGCTAAGTGGATAGAGCACCAGCCCTTAAGTCAGGAGGATCTGAATTCAAATGTGGCGTCAAAGCAAACACTTGACACTTACTAGCTATGTGACCCTGGGTCACTTAACCCCAATTGCCTTTAAAAAAAAATGAACACTTTAACTTGATAAATAGGCACTCCTCACCTACCCTGTGCATATTTGTAGGTTAAAAAAAACAAACCTCCGTGGTGGTTGATCCTTGGTATCCAGTCTTACTGGCTTTGTCTATACTTTTGAGGGATTCCTGATGTTACTTGACTTGAATTACCCTTTCTGTTGGCTTTATGTCATCTGCAATTTGAAAAGCATACCATTTTTAAGCCATTGACAATATTTTGAATAGAACAAGGCAAAAGAAAATGCTGTTGTGGTGCTTACTTAACTAGAGAATTCCCTCCAATTTGACTGATCCATTAATCACTACTCTGAGTTTAGTCATTGAGGTTTTTTGTAAACTTTTGCTGTTACCTCCCCATTGTTGCCCTTCATTGATTAATTTTTTTTAAAAAGGAAAAAAAAACCCCTCAAAACACGCATAGTCCACCAAAAGAAATTCCTAGCATTGTCCATGTGTAAAACGTGTGTCTGTGTCTTGCTGCGTTTGCATCCCCTATAGTAGGGAGGGTAGGAGTAGGAGTCATCCTCAGTCCTCTGGATTTGGGAGCTTATCATTCATTTTCATTGTATCAATCAGAGTTCTATTTTCATTGTATCAATCAGAGTTCTAAAAGTCTTCATTTTTCCCTATACTGAGTGTTGTGGCTGTTGTATAAATTTTTCTAGTTCTAAGCTCAAATTACTTTGCGTCAGTTCTCGGTCTTTCCAGTTTCTTCCCAAGCTGTCCCATTTCAACTATTTCTCATATCAGTAATATTCTATTATATTCATATTTCTTATTTAGCCCATATCATTGAATGTAAATTCTACCCAATTATTTGCCATATAGCTCATCTCACAATTTGTCCACAATGAAATATGGAGCAATTTTTGTCAAAATGCCTTGCTGAAATCCAGAAATAATAGATGAGGATAATTTCGTAGACATCACCTTGATAAAAATCTATTAAAACCCTTTTGAAAAGGGTAGTTGTCATCTAATGTAGTTTGTTGACAAAACTGTTGACACTTGGGTGATAACAAATTCCTTTTATAAATGCTCAGAAACCATGTCTTTACTCCAATTTAAAACAAATTATTAAATCACTATGACTTAAAATTGGAAGAATTAAAGGTCCTCATTGAAAATTGGAGTATTCAGTATTTTTAGTATCTCCCACTCTCCATTATCTTGATTTATTTTTCAAAGATCATGGAAGATTGTTCAGTATTCTATCTCTTATGTATTTTCAGTACGTTGATGTGTATTTTTTCCAGGCCTGGTGACTTGAAGAACTCATTGAGCTTGAGTAAGTTCTTATAGCCTCACTTATTTGGGTATTGGTTCTCTTTTAGGCTCTTTTAACTTGCTCTTCACACTTACAGTATAACTCTTTGGAGCTTAGTAGAATTTAGATTTGAAAGGGACCTAGGTTCATTTAATCCATCTCTCTCATTTTATACTTGGGAAATAGGCTTGTAGAGACCAGGGTATTGTGATATGTAGAGCTGGATTTTTGTAGTCAGGAAGACCTACATTCAGATTCCACCTCATACTTGGTAATGGGCAAGTCACCTAATCTAAGCTGTTGACTCTTAAGGTGGCCTGGTAATTTTCTCACAGGATTTTTTGTTTTTCTGTTTAGTTAATTCTTACTGATCAAAAACAGCAGTTGACCTCATTACTTTTATCTCTTAAATTAAATTATCATGGAAGGTGCAGATTTTAGTTGTGATGAACTGTGAGTTCTAAATGGATTTTTCCAGAAAGTTGTAGTTCATTGTTTAAATTTATGGAAAATCTAGTGTTGAGTCTGGTGGGGCCTTTGGCTAGTTTAAAACTGTAGCCTTTGGCTAGTTAAAACTCACTTTCCTTGGTAAAGTAAGGGGATTGTTCTAGATGTTAACATCTTTAGGTTCAGTGTTCTATGATCCATTATTTCTTTTGTCTCTTATTTCATTATTCTAGTCATATATATGTGTGTGTGTGTGTGTGTGTGTGTATGTATATATATATATATCTATATATATATCTCTATATATATATATCTATATCTATATATATATATATCCCCCCTTTGGCAAGGCAGTTAGGGTTAAGTGACTTGCCCAGGGTCACATAGCTAGTAAGTGTCAAGTGTCTGGTTGAAGACAGGATTTGAACTTGGATCCTCCTGACTCCAGGGCCAGTGCTCTATTCACTTCGACACCTTGCTGCGCTTGTGTACTCCATTTTAAAAAAGCAAAATACATTCTAATTTAGTATTAGGGGGTGACATTGAGACAGGATGAAATGTAACAGTGATTAAGTGTAAGACTCAAAACTCCAGTTAAGTGAGGAATGGGGAGATTTGGTTTGAGAGCAGTTTTTCTTGGGGGGGAAAAAGCCCATGAGATTTTGGACACAGTTTAATAAACATGTGATATGCCAAGTTAACTTTGGGCTGTATTAATTAGAAGCATAGTCTCTAGTTCACTGGAAAGATAGTCTTGGTCTTGATGCTAGTCAGATCACAGCTTGAACATTCTCTAGTTCCGGAAACCACATTTGAAGAGCATCTAAATAAAAATAAATTAGCACTCATTGTGATCTCTGTAGTAAAACAATATCATATGAAAATGAATCTCTAGAGCCTAGGGGAAGAATAGGCCTAGTCTGTACGATATTTGAGAGCTCTCTCTAGCGTATAAATGTCAGTATGTTTTGTCTTCAGAATGCAGAAAGAAGACAAATAGTTATAAGGTAAGGGGTGGGGGGAGGGTGGGGTGGCTGGGAGCAGAGTTAAGCTCAACAGTTAGTAATTTGGGCATTCTACTTCTGTTTAAGGTTATTAACACTTACTTTAGAAGTTACCAAATAGTGGCTTCCTGGAAGTATGTCTTTTTCATGTGAATTATTTTCCCAACCTTGTATCAGAAGAAAATATGCAACTTTATAATTATTTAAAATAAAAATGTGTTGTAAATGCTATAAAATAAAAATACATGATGTATGTTGATTTGAACAGTGGTCTCCAACATAGAGCAGCTTTTCCCAAACTAACTTGTCCATGGAATACCTTGACTTAAAATATAATGTTTATATAGGTTTGTGAAGTGCTTTGCCTATATTCTTATCCTCACAACCCTGTGAAAAAGTTATTTTATCACTGTTTTATAGAAGAAGCTGTCTTTAAGAGTTCAAATGAGGGGCCATATAACCAGTAAGTGTCTGAGGTAGAATTCAGATTTTCCTCTTCCTAATTAGAAGTCTGGTAACTCTGTGTACCACCTTAAAAATTCAAGAGACAAAAGATTATCTGTAATAAATAAAGTTCAGGATGGGATTAAAAATTTTCAAATGTGCTAGTAAAAAGGAATTTTATTGTTAAATGTGTTCCTAGCTTTGGCTTGAACTTTCAAATATGTAATCCCACATGTTGTATCCCCTTTCACATGTGACAAATCTTAAAAGCTAAAAAAGAGACTGGAGTCCAGGAAGTAAGAGGTTGAAAGTAATGTGCTGCTTCCTTTGTGCCCTCTTAAAACAGTTGTTTGAAACTGGCTTTCTTACAATATCAGCTCTTCCCCCACAGATTCCCAGTTTTGAAGAAAATAGTACTTGTAGGGTGAAGGTGTCCAGTATTAATAATATACAGAGGATACACAATGGAATCAACTTTTAAAGATTGGTTATATTAAGTTACATAGCACAAACTGGAATTTATAACTGATACGTATAGATACTTGAATAAAGCTGTTCACTACTTGATTGCAGGTAAAAATGTTGTTCATCAGTTGTCGGTGACCTTAGAAGATTTATATAATGGTGCAACAAGAAAACTGGCTTTGCAAAAGAATGTAATTTGTGATAAATGTGAAGGTATGTTTAAAAATCTTTCTGTATAGTCTTACAACATAATTACAAATTCCTATTTTAAAAACCTTATTTTCACTTTGAGATCCTCAGTTGTGTTACTCTCAGAGAATTACAGGACTTCTAGGCTTGGGTGCAGTACCAAGATGTTTGCCATCTCGCATCAGAGATAGTGCATCTAATCAACAGAAATTTTTAGAGGGTACGAGCAGGAAATTGAAATAAACAGATTGAGACTCTTCTGAGAAGGAGGAGTTGGCTTAGATGAAAGGACTTGTGGAGGATTAGATGAGATTGTTTTATCATCCTTACATCTAGGAAGGCCTGCTGGGATAGGAATCCTGGTAGAGAAGAGATATTTCACTTCCACCTGCTCATTTCTCCAGATTAAACTTAAAGATTCAAGTGAGAAGCTTCAGTTTTCTGTTAGTTCCAAAATGAAGTATAGCCAGATTATATATGGATGGCACAGTGGTGGGAGAAAAGTGGGGCATAGGGAAAGTGAGGGAGGGAAGGAAGTAGGAAATGGTAGAAGGCTAGGTCTGTCATTGTAAAACCTTTTTACAGTTAAGCTATTTGTAGATAGGTAAGAATTCAGGGTAGAAAAGAGTAGGAGTAGGCACTGGCACTTGTGCTCATAACACATGCTCTGGGCTCCCCTTGTACCCTCTGACCTGAGAGGTAGATAAGGCCCATTAGCTTGGATAAATAGGGTGATAGAACTTCAATCCTGGTAAGTGGAGCTAAGCCTTGCCATCTTTCCTGCTTCACCCTGTAGCCTCCCCCCACATTGACATTGCTATTCTTATCAATAGCCTTTTCATTATGTAGCTGAACTATTTTTGCTATTTCTCACACCAATTAGAATGTGAATGTCTTGACAGAAGGAATTGTCTTAACTCCAGTCTTTATCAGGGTGCTTAGCACATAGTAAGTGCTTAATAAATGCTTTTTCACTCATTTGTAGGTAAGCCTGTACCTTACTTATATCTTCAGCTTTCTAGATATTCCTGTTTGTGATAGCTCACTGTAAGAAGATGATGTTTTGCGGTGTGTTGGTATGTACCTTTAATACTCAACTCTGTATTATAAACTTACTTCAGTTATTGAAATTTTAATTTTTCTGTGGTTCAGGACGGGGTGGTAAGAAAGGAGCTGTAGAATGCTGTCCCAATTGCAGAGGTACTGGAATGCAAATAAGAATTCATCAGATAGGACCTGGAATGGTTCAGCAAATTCAATCAGTTTGCATGGAATGCCAAGGGCATGGGGAACGAATCAGCCCTAAAGATAGATGTAAAAGCTGTAATGGAAGGAAAATTGTTAGAGAGAAGAAGATCCTGGAGGTTCATATTGACAAAGGTAAGTATCTTGAGTGATTTTTTTTTATTTTAACCTTTAATTACTTGCCACATTTTAAAAAGAAACCCATGTTCCAATTATATTCAGTCACCTTATGATTGTGAATATACTGTATAGATAAATCATTTACAAAGTGTATATGCTTAGTCTTTTCAGAGTGAAAGGAACCATTTTAATAAATACCTCATAGTAATCATATTATTCTGAAAGTATAGATACTATAGTTAGAGTGATGTTTATAGGATGCTTATCAGTAGATTTCGGTTTGGTTGGTAAGCAGAGAAAGAAATATCTGGAAGTCTAAAAGTGGATGAATTGAGTATGTTTGGCCTTTTAAAAATTAATAATGCCTGAATCTAGGAGAAAAACTGGAATGGCAAGCAAACCTGTAATTTCTTTAAAACAGGTAACGTATGCCTTTATTCAAATTCATATAAATCGTATAATTAGATCAAGGAAAGGATTTCTGTAGTATTCTACTACAGTATTTAAGGCCTAAAAACTTTCATTGACATACTACAGAATTGTCCTTTAATTGAGTAAAACATTTTTTGGCCTTTGTGCCCAAGTTTTCAATAGAAAAGGATATGACCTATTTTTTTCTTCTTAAGAAGAAATTAATGTTGTGGATTTAATGTGTATTAAAAATGTGGAGGGCACAAAAATATATCTTTGTCCTGTTAATTGCAAGTTGTTAAAGTGATTGGTTTTACTGTACTGAATTGCAGTAGGGGTTCATTGGATCTCAGCCTCTTCCTCAGCTTTATTTTGTAATTAAGTAATTAGACAATTAAAAATGTGGACACAGAGGGAGATCTATTCACCTAGCTTTTTCTGTAGCCAGAATGGGGTACTACTAGAATCAAAGCAGTAACAGTTTTGTGTCACACAGCTCAAGCCTATGTGGCCTAGTGCAGAAGTGTCAAATTCACACAGCCAAATCGGATTAAAATATGATTGGGAAATGTTTAACAAAACGAGTAAAAATACAATACAACAGAATGTTCATGTGTGTTTTACTAAGTCCACATGCATCCTGCAGGAATCCCTTTCTCGTTGACACCATTGGTGTCATGGATAGGCAACTGGTCAGAAAAATTTGAGTTCCAGGAATAGAACACCAACCCTGGAGTTCAAATCTGGCCTCAGACACTTAACAGCTGTGTGACTCTTGGTAAGTCACTTAACCCTGATTGCCTCCAAGAAGGAAGGGAAAAAAAAATGAAAATCTGAGTTCACAACCCACCTCACCTATTGGCTATTGGAAATTTAGTTAAATACCTTTGATTGACTCTAACAGACTTAATTTGAAATGCTCTAGAAAATTAGTTTAGGTATTCATTGCCAGGTAGTAATTTCCAATGATACTTTAAAAGTATAGTAGAAAGTGTTTACTGCTACCTTATGAAACGATCAGGCATTTATAGACAACAAAGCATTTAGACTAGATTGAAAAACTATTAATGAATTTTCTCATTTTTATATTAAGTTATTATTGCAGTACATGAAGCAGAAACTGTCCTATGTAATCTGTACCACATCTTTGGCAGTTTCTAATTAAACCAGTATTGTATCCGGTATTACAGTATGAAGTTAACAAGTAGAGAGACTTGGTTTCTTTCCTTAGGAAACTTACAAATATAGTTGTGTGTAAGCTGATAAGTCTTGGGACTTCTATTCCCCCTGCACCTCCACTCCCCCTCCAAAATTTTTTTTTTGGTGTTCTAGAATTGTTTCAGGACCAACATAAAATGTATTATTTTAGGTATGAAAGATGGTCAGAAGATAACATTCCATGGTGAAGGTGACCAGGAACCAGGACTTGAGCCAGGAGATATTATCATTGTTTTGGATCAGAAGGACAATGCTATATTTACACGGTAAAAAAAAAAATTAAATATAATCATTTGAACATTGAACTTCATGTTTATGTATAGATAGTCCAGTTACTTCTAAATAGGCTCTAGCAGGAAAGAATAAGCTAAATTAGGTTTGTTTTTTTTCTTTAATATTTCTAACCATTGATATTAGTTTAGAAGAGAAAATTGTGGTGTCCATGAGCTCTTGATGACTGGACTAGCCTAATTTTGGAAAAGATTATAATGGGAATCCCCATTCTGCTGAGTTGTGCTGAAATCATGGTTGTTAGTTAAAAAGTGCTGAGTTAGGGCCTCTCTAACCATGGATAATTTAGAATTAGGGCTTCCATTTTTCACCTGTGAAATGAAGGCAGGTATACTAGATTGGGGACTCTTAAGCCACCCTTTTAATCTTACATCTTTTATTTGGCAGATGGTCATCCAGCCTCTGCTTGAATACTTCAAAGAGGGAGATTTCATTATCTGATATAACTGATTTCCATTTTTGAACATCTTAGTTATTTGTGTCAAATCAAAATCAGCCTTGTAGCTTTTACCCTTTGGAAATTGTCTTTGAAAAGTATACTCTAGGAGTAGAACTTTCTAACGTGCAACACTGTCACACTTTTATCTTTGACCCAGAAATCAATTTCTTAAGTTTACAGTACAGGGTGTCCTAGAAGTCTTGGTAGCTTAAAACTGTACTAAGACTTTTAGAACATCTTGTTTTGTACCCTTAAATTCCATGGGATTTTCTTTTTTAATGTCTTTCTCAGTATTTGTATCAGCAGCAAAATCAATGTGACTAATATACTGGGTAAATTGGTGAAAGAGAAAGATAGTGGTGAAGTGTCTAAGTCTAAGTGCTTTTATTCTAAGAATTAATGTCTGATGACTGATGAAATTGCTACCATATTCCTAGTAACATGTGGTGTGTTGAGGGGGGGAGGAGTAGGGAGTATGATTTTCATTTTAAACTAATGCATTAATACTAATTTCTTTTAAAAAGCAGATTAAAACTTTAACTTTCAGAATTTATGCTAATAACTTGTCTTATGACTCATTAAAAATCAGTCTTTAGTACTTATCACATCTGTGAGAACAGACTAGCAAACTTTTGAACATTTTCCTTATTAAACATTTCATTATAGAACTTTGTTATTGGGGATTGGAAAAGAGGGGGAGAAGTAGAAGTCCATAGAATGTAAAAGGGAAAAATGCTTTTGTTTAGCACAGGTAGTTTACTTAAGGGGAATGCCTGTCCATGTCCACCCCTACTCCTGTGTGTTTGTTAAATTATTTTTTAAAGCAGCCTGTGTGTACCTCTTGATTATGGAGTATTACAAGATAACTTTCCCCTACTGTATTATTCTAAAGAATTCTTTAAATTAGAATAGGATAGCTCAGACTTTTTGGAATTCTTTAAAACAAGTCCTTGTATCTTAACATTAAATGGTTGTAAAGAATTTATCTTAAAATGAACATTTAAAACTCCATTTATTCAAGCTAATTCAAGTTTTTTAAAAAGCATTAAGTAGGCAAGATACATACTTTTTTTTTTTAATAGACGAGGTGAGGACCTTTTCACATGTATGGATATCCAGTTGGTTGAAGCATTGTGTGGCTTTCAGAAACCAATAACAACTCTTGATAATAGAACTATAGTCATTACTTCTCATCCTGGTAAGTAATCAGCCGTTAACCACATATGTAATCCCTTTAAGGGAACATTTAAAGATGGTTGGATTGGGGGCAGTGGGAGAGTTTGGGCTTTGTTCCTTGGTTGGCAGTCATTTGTAGTATCTCATAATGTAGAAGAAATTTTACGTGGTCCTCTGGCAGCTTCCAAAAAGAAAATACCACAGCTTTGACAGGACCAAAACCAGTTACTTTTCCCCAATATGGTCCATCTGGTTATCAAGGATCCTATCTCTATTTACCCCCTTCTTTTTCCCAGCAATGACCATATGTTGGCCCTTTTAGGTCAGATTGTTAAACATGGAGATATCAAATGTGTGCTGAATGAAGGTATGCCCATTTATCGCCGACCTTATGAGAAAGGAATTCTAATAATTGAGTTTAAGGTAAGTTGCAAAGTGAATGTCTTAAGTATTTAGTAACACTGAAAGTAGCTTATGTAAGCAAAACAATTGACTTTGGGGGGAGAATGATTATATTATTCACCTTTATACAAAAACAGATTTTTAACATACTTGTAAGTTTTCTAATAAGTTAATATCCTAGGTTTTAGAACTTCGAAGAAATCATGTAGTCCAACATCCTCTTGGAAACAAGTCTAGAGGGATTAGCGTGAACTGCACCTTGTCTCTCTCTGTCTTTGTCTCTCTCTCTCTCTCTCTGTCTCTCTGTGTCTGTCTCTCTCTCTCTCTCTGTGTCTGTCTCTTAGAATTAGAACCCAGTTTCTAATTCCAAATGAGTACTTTTCATTACAGATTTTCGCATAGCACTTTGCTAAAAGTGGCATGCTATATCAACTTGGAATTATAATAGTCTCCTGAAAGGAAGTTTTTTAAAAATAGGTTTAAAAATTATCAAATTGGTTTTTCTTGTAAATAATTTTACACTCTTAGAAAAGAGGATCTTTTGATAAATCTCTTTGAGGATCAAATGTAGTACAAAGTGTTTGACCTATATAGAAAGGTAGATTATACTTTATGAACTAAAAGGTCAGGGGAGAGATACTAGTGATGCCAAAAAGGAAATACCAGTTGATTTGGAAGGATTTTCCATTTTTCACATGATGAAATTGAGGGCCATACCACATTGTTCTCCCATATTGCCATATTTGTATTCAGTATTTTATTTTGTTCCTAAAAATATTTGTTATGGGCCTAGAAGGAATAGTATTACCATAGTATTACCGTTTTTATAGGGAAACTTAGGTGCTATCACATACTGTGACTTTAGAAATATAAGAATAATTAAAAAAAAGTTTTTTGGTTTTTGTGTTTTTTTTGCAGGTAAACTTCCCAGAGAATGGCTTTCTTTCATCAGATAAGCTATCTTTGTTGGAAAAATTACTGCCTGAGAGAAAGGAAGTAGAGGAGACTGAAGATATGGATCAGGTAGAACTGGTGGACTTTGACCCATCGCAAGAAAGAAGACGCCATTACAATGGAGAAGCGTATGAGGATGATGAGCATCATCCCAGAAGTGGGGTTCAGTGTCAAACCTCTTAATGGGGGGCCAGTGAATAATCTTAATTGTAATGCTGGCTTTTGTATGCAGTAGTGAATGAGTGAAGGACTACAGTCATCTTAACACACTCACTACTAGCTATTGTTTTTGTTGTAATACTCAACTATAGTTGTGTTTTAAAAAGTTAATAAAATCAGTAATATAAAATGCTGACTTTGCAATTTATGATGTTCAGTGTGCAAGATAGTTAATTATTTCCTTATGGTAAAGAAGCCCCCAAGCATTTTTTCATCACTTGTACTTTTTGTTTCAATGTGTATATGCAGTGGCTTAGACTGAGGTTTGATTTTTGATTGACTAAATGTACACAAGCATTTATAATTGTTAAGCTCTGAAATTAAAATTTTGTACTGAATTCACCATCAGAAAACTTTAATATGTTGATGTTTTGGTCTGTATGGTTGTTTGTCAAATTGGGATTTGTTGTGATGCTTCTGCTTTTGCTGTATTGCCTAGGTGTTGTCTGTATTTAACAAGTAATTCTGATTACATGTAGTATGCCAACAGTAAATTTAAACCCCATTCTTTAGAAAGGTATTTTATTTACAGTTTACGATAACCCCAAATCTCTTGAGAGTTTAGGGTTTTAGAATTAATTCCTTTCTGTTTTGCCATTATGCTGTTATTTTAAAAAACAATGCTAGTCATAACTAGCCCTACCTCTGGCTCTCTCCATTCACTGTATTTGGGGTTTGCTTGCTTTGGGAACTGAAATGGCGAAGAAAAGGGGTAACTCCTGAATGTTTGGGGAAGAGGTTCTTTATATACAGTGAATGCAGGGTGACAGCCACCTAATTTTAAGTTAATTTTGCCCTACTTAGACCAGTTTGTTTTACCACATTACAAGCAAGAAATGGGTTCTTTTATGTACAGTGAATGCAGGATGAGGGCCACTAATTTTTTATTTTGTTATACTTAGGCCAACTGGCTTTAATGTTTGTTTTAACTAGTTTAATGCTTTATACTTTAACTAGTTTAAAGCTTGACCAGATTGCAAGCAGTAGCTGTAAATGTTTGTTTAAATCATCAAGATATCATATAAGCAATCTGTAAGTAGTAGAAACTAAGTTATATCTAGGCATCTTTACAATATATTGTAATTGCAATTTATTAGCAGATTTTCAGGAGAAAGTGTGAAGGAGAAATCTGCCTTGGTAAATAAAATGTTGATTTAGGATGGCACAGAGAAACTTAATATTGGACACATACAAACAAAAAAATCAAAAGTATACAGAACATCTAATTCAACTGTTTATTAAGAAGGAAGAGTAAAACTACAATAAATATAACTAATGTAACTCCACAAGTAAGAGAAATGTCTCAGTGGATTGCAGGTCAAAACAGAAAGAATTTCTGTCTTCTCTACGTCTTACTTGGCTAGGTTTTTCCAAAAATTTCCTGACACTCCACATCCTGATTTCTGATTCCTCAGTGGCATAATCCCAAAATGTTCTATGTGGCAATGTGTTTTAGTATTTTTTTATTTTTATTTTTTTTTTTTTAAGAAGGGCTAAAATAAGAGTATATGACATGTTGACACTTGGTTTATTAGTGTTATTAAATCTAAACATGGGAGAGGTGAGTAAGAAGCTACAAATAGAAGGGATTTGACTGGCTTAATTGTTTTGAAATTTTAACATTTTACCAGCTATTTGCATGTGGATTCATGATAAATCCCTTTTATAACAAGCAAAGCAGATGGAACTGTGTGTACAGCACCTATAGTTCCCTATCTATAGGAAGGGGAAACTTTTTTACCTGTTCTTTGGAATCAAAACAGAGCCAAGCAATAGTTTCCCACTAATAATTTTTTAATCTTTAGCCATGACATGAAAGCATCTCTTATAGAGATGCTGGGCACCTCTATCTGTTTTCGTGGACCCCTGTTAACTTCAGCGGGGTTGAAGCTTAACTGAGTGTACTAATGGTTGTGTGGTGTAGTTCTGTGTTATAAAGGTGGATTTTATACCATCTAAAATGGGTATCATACCTTCAAGTTATTTAATGGGGTAAGGTAAGAAATGGGTGAGGGATCTGGGAAGATTAAATGAAAGGAGACTTTTTTTGGGGGGTGGCTTTGCCCTTTCTCATCTCTAGACAGATTTGTTTGCCTTACACTGTTTGGATATCACCCAGCCCACCCCTGGTTTTGTGTATCTGGATAGCCTTTTTTGGTTAAAACTAAGAACAAGCACGAAGTTGATCGTTAAGTGGTAAATGTATTGACTTGGTTAAATAAGTGAATTCTGGTTAATGAAATAATGGGCTAAATTTCATTACTACTTAGACCTACCCAGGGTAAACTTTTTAGGGATGAAATTTAAACTTAGCAAATCTATAGCCCTTGTTATTCAGTGTTTTCTGTATATCCTTACCTACTGCATTCTAACCATTACTCTTCTATAACTGCAACAGGTACAGACATTTCCCTGTTTGTACTATCCAGTTAGTAGTCAGGTGCTTCAGGAATAGAGCTAGTTCCTCACAGTATTCTTTCCACAAAATGTTATGAGTGTTCAAACTTGTCAAACCATAGTAGCTATTTCCTTTGAATAAGTCACCTTTCTGAGCATTAGTTAATGGGGATAAGACTCAGGGGAGTTAAAAGGTAACCATAGAGACCCCTTCTAGTCTATAAAGGGTCATTTAAAATTAATTTAAGTAGTGAGAAAGGAAGCAGTCACTTTTCAGGGTGGCCCAGCTGTTTGGATATTTATGTGGCCCAGAATTTTCGTATTCTTCGTTTTGCCCTTCGGGGACCAACAAAATAAATCCCTCTTCTACATCAGAGCTCTCTGAATATTTGAAGACTTTTTTTTTTTTTTTTTTTAATAAACATTAGGTATTTCCAGTTTCCTCAACTGGTGCTTAGGATATATACAGTCTTGAGTCCTTCAGCATCCTACTGGCCCTCCATTTTATCAATGTTCTTCCTAGGATGTAATGCCCAAATTTGAACTTGATGTGGTCTTGAAGTAATTTTGGGCAATTGGTACAGAATATATGAAGTTAAAAGAGGGAAATATGCAGTTAAGTACAGAAATGGATTTCACTCTACAGAGAAACGGGAAGGAAAGGAGGAAAAGCTCGATAAATGGCAAAGAATTGGAAACATGTCCACAAATTGGGTAATGACTGAAAAAGTTGCAGAATATAAATGTGAGTGCTTACTGCACTGTAAGAAATGAAGGGGATGGAGGGATTTCATAGAAACACGGAAGACTTCCATGAATAGATAAACGTAGAGTGGGATGAGCAGAAGCAGCAAAGTTGCTTGTACAGTGATGGCATTTTGGAGAAAAATAGTTTTGCAGATTGAAACTTTTTTTAAACATGGTCAGTATGAGAATATGTTTTGCCTGACTATAGATGTTTGTTATGGGGGGTGTGGGTGTGTATTTTAGTGGGGATGAGAAGGTGAAAAACAATTTGGAATTGTTTCCCAAAAGTCACTTTGACACATTGATATGTGTCATGTATCTTAAGGTGGTTAAAGACAGGGAAAAGTCAGTCATGTACAATCGAGCATTAATTAAACATCTACTATGTCCTTAGTGTCCAACTCTGACCCCATTTGGGGTTTTCTTGGCAAAGTGGTTTGCCATTTCTTTGTCCACGTTTTACAGATGAGGAAACGGGCAAACTAGATTAGGTGATTTGCCTGGACTCACAGCTAGTGTCTTGAGGCTGCGTTTTGTACTCTCATCTTCCTGACATCAGGCCTGGGTCTCTATTCCACTGTACTACCTAGCTTCCCTTAGTGCTGGGGGTACAAAAACAAAAACAGCATTTTCTGCAGGATCAAAAAACAAAAATTGGTGTGATAATTATTTGGGAGTCGTTGTACAAATTGTGCTCTATGAATGTGAAGAAATAGCATGTGGATAAGAAATGGCAATTAAGAAGAATTTACAGAAATTTAGGAAGGTTTGTATGAAAGATGTAGAGCCACATAAGCAGAACCAGAAAAAAACAATTTACGTGATTGATAATGTCAAAGAAAAGGAGAATTTTTGCAGTTTTTCTACCAGTGTCACTACATATGCAAAAATCTGTTGGTCTCCCTAGTAGAGGTGAAAAAGGAAAATGAAGTATAACTTGAAACAAAAAAAGTGCTTCAAAGGAAAAACAAAGTGTCAGAAGGGGTATTTTCTAAAAATATCAATGGAATTCATCCATTTAACATGTAATTCAGGAATATCCATTTTTAAAGCGTTAGCTTGCTAGGAGTTCCATACAATGACATGCATTATGTGGCATTATATTTTAAAAAAGTTTTATCAAATTTAATACCGACCATCAACAAAACTAAACTTGCATTTTCGTTAGATTAATTTTTGTCCACAAAGTGTCAGAAATTTTTCAATCACTAGTTCCAAATTCCTTCTTTGTCCAGTCATTTGCTTTTTCTCTTCTATAGTCGCAATAAGTAAATATTTCTGGTTCTTTTTACCTTTTATATTCTTTTAAAAAAAATCTTTTTCCATCACTTTCATTTCCAAATTTATCTCTTCTCCCATAACTAGAGAATCACTCCTTATAACAACCAAAAAAAAAAAGGGGGGGGGTAGAGAAATGCAGTTTGGCAAAACTAATCACATCAGCTGAATCAGATATATGCATTGTTCCACCCATATCTCTCCTCAAAATATATCTGCTGAAAGAGGAAGTTCATTTTCTCATCTGTTCTTTTTTTAACATCATTTAACATTTTTTGTAGACATGGTGATTATACAGATGTATATTAAGGTATACAAAGCATTAAATTTTAGGGTTTTTTCTTTGTCATTTACTGTAGACATTTTCCTGTTTCTGTACCAGTTTACGTAAGGTTACCTCATACTGCTGAAGTCTTCATATTTACTGTTTCCATTAGCTTTATGTATAATGATTTGTATTCCCCAACTTGTTGAGCATCTGTTTCGTTTCCAAAAAAATGCATAAAAACACTGATAGGAATTTTTGATGTAATGGGACCTTCCTTTTTGTCTTTGACCTCCTTGGAATATATAGCAGGATCTCTAGATCAAAGGATGCAGACATTTAGCATAATTGTACATCCTTTGAATTATTTCTTAAAGATATCTTAAGATTTCTCATACTTTTGGGTCTTAATTACTACATTGTAGTAATTCCATTACACAAATGTACCACAATTTGTGTATCCATTATTCTCTTGGATATTTGAGTTGCCTCTAGTTTCTTTGCTATCACAAATAACAATGCAATCCTTTCAGCAGATGGATTTTTTTGTTGTTTTGGTTGCATTTCTATTACATATTTTCAACAATGGAATTATAGTGTCAAAGGGTACGACTGTTTTTACTGTTCGCTAAAGGGGGGATCTTAACCTGTATTAGGGAGATTGGAGTTTGGAAAAAAAATGTGACAAAGGGCAGACATGACTACTCAACAATGTGAATTATGTAGGTTGTGCTAGGACCAACCGCCATTTTTGTGATGCAGCTTGTTCCGTCCTATACACACAACTTGGTGAGCTTTACCTAAAAGAAAAAAAGGGCCTTATCATTCTTAGCTTCTTTGATACAACTTCCTGGTCATCTAAGGGCACAAAAAGTCCTGTGACTTTTTGATTCCATATGGAATCTGGAGCTCCTAAACTTGGTGGGTTGCCATTTCCAGATGGGGATAAGGGACTCGGTGTCCATTGGTTCCATTTCATATTCTTGCTGTGTTGGGGCAATGTAAACCTCATTGTTACATGTTCAGTGCCTCATTTCTTCCCAAAATCAAACCTGAACCAAGAGGGTGTGTTATTAGAGCTGCACCTCTAACACCGGTGTAATGAATAAAGCATTGAACGTGGGAGTCAGGAAGATCTAGATAGAATCCTGCCTCAGACTCTAGTTGTAGACAAATTAACCTTTCTCAGCCTCATTTTCCTCACAGAGGTTGAAGCACCACACACTACAAGGGTTGTTATGAGGATAAAATGTATTTTGTGAAAGTGCTTTGCAAACCTTAAAAGTTCTATATAAATGTTTATTATTTTAAAAGTTATGTTTTTAAGATGGATTCATAAGATGGGTTCATGTGTTATAAGAGGAGGAAAAACAAATATGGGTAGTACGTTTTTGGGGCTGGCTAAAACAATGTTTAACTAAAAGTACAAGGGCCTTAGTCATGTTAGCACCAACCATAAAAGAAAGAATATAACCTGAAGGGAATATAGGGGAAGGTAATAGGTCTAATTTAAATATGAAAAAGCAATAAATACTGCCATTCCATTCATAATCCAGTGATTTTACAATTCTTCTCAAGAATGCTATGAAAGTGTAGACCAGCTTTCCCCTAGAGTAATAGAGAACAGGAAATCTACTTTATAAGATACTCTAGAGTTGTCCAGCTTTCATGGTACTTCAGATTGCACCTCTACCCCCTAAAATAAGCAATGGACAGGAAATCTGCTTTATAAGATACCCTATTTAGAATTCTCCAGCTTTCATGGTACTTCAGACCCCACCTCCATCCCCCAAAAGAAGCAATTTGTGCCAGAAGATGAAAAGACATGAAGGCATCTTCCATTTTGCTGTAAGTATCCAGAGTGTGACTGGTTAGTGTGACATCATTTCATCTTGAATTGCCTGCTTTTTGCCCTTTGGAAAGTACTTAGATAATCCCAAGAATACAAATTGCAAAGTAAGAAATGGAGCAAATACAGACAGATTTTCATACAAAAGCCCAAACTTAAAGGGTAAGAACACATCCCACCAATATGAAAACTCCAAAAAGAATCACATTCTTTCCTGTACTTCTTTTAACTGGATTTTTCACTAAACAAGTGTTTGCTTCATTGCTTCAACAAATCTGGATACTGATCTGAGCCATGATGAGAGATTCTCTAGACAACTTCTAAGATTCCCCTTTTTATCAGTGTTGGAGTTTCAGATCAGTATCACCACTGCGCTCCAGTGGTTCGAGAGACCTTTTTGTCTACCAGTTGGGTCCTTTCTCTGTAATGCCACCCTGGTGGCCCACTGTTCGTCTTCCCTGCTTTGAAATGGAAGGGATTCAGTTTATCAGCGTCACACTGATTTGATTCTGTGTTTCTTCTTCCTCAGCACTCCCTGGTTCACTGAAGCCCAGGACCTAGTTGATGCACTGCTTCAAGTCCACCCAATGGTAGTAGTGGTTATTGGCTTCAACTTACACTGAAGCAGTGCTACCTGGTGCTACAGCCAGAGGCCAGCAGTCTCTCTTGAACAATCTGTTAGCTATTAGTAGTTGTAAAACTTCTCATAGAGGGTAAAGTTAGACCTTTATAGAGGAATATATATAGAGGAACACACATACACACACACACTCCCCTTTATAGAGGAATCAACTTCTTGGGTTCCAAGGAAGACTGATATGGAGCCACAAATGTTACCAGAAGTAAAGAAAGGAGGAGGAGCCGAGGGGTGAATCCCTGCCAAAGAACACCAAAGCAGTTAAATGCTTACCTAATGTGGTTAATAGGGAGGCATGCTGTCTGTCTGCCTGTATCCAGAGTAATTGAAGACTATCCTAGGAGACATTAAACCTGACAGCTACCAGCTCCCTTTAGTGTTTCATGTGGGCACAAATGATATTACAGATGGAGCATAGAAAGCAATGCCAGGGATTATGAAGGTCTAGTTAACAAACTGAAGAGCTTAGAGCCTATGTGGCATTTTAAATTTAAGGTAGGAACTTCAAAAGGGACAGATGGGTTTGGGAAATAAAAGGCTGGTTAAGAATATGATATCTAAGAATGGGCTATAGATTCCTGGGCTATAGCTTAAAATTTAGGGATGATAGGTCCTTAGCCAGGGATGGAGTGCACCTGATAAGAGTTAGAAAAGTATTTTCCCTTGAGTCCTTTACTTCTGGTGGCATTTGTGGATCTGTATCAGTCTTCCTTGGAATCCAAGAAGCTGATTCCTCTACAAAGGCTCTAGCTTTACCCTCTATGAGAAATTTCACAATTTTTAATAATAGCTAACAGATCGTTCAAGAGAGATTGCTGGTTTCTGTGAACCGGATCAAGAGGACTTCATTTTAATAGAGGAAGGAGAAAACTGATAGAGTACATTATGTAACTCAAGGAGAACGATTACTACATGCCCATGCCTGTGTGGGTGTTGGGGTTTGGTTTCTGGCTTTAGCTTTGAGAGAGGATCTATGACATCCCAGTTTCTTTTCAGGGAGAGGTCTCTGGAGGGAGAAAAAGACTGAGAAGCCATAGGTACAGGAGCCAGCTCTTTGGCCACGTCCCTGTTCCCTGCTTCTTACCCTGAAGACTTTGGGGAGTTTCTCCTTAGATGAGACTTTGAACTTTTGGTTGAACTGAAATACCTCACTCCCAGTAATAGAGCTCATTCATTTGTAATGTCTGGTATACCATCATCTGTATATCCACTTTGGCTCCTATTTACTATCAGCTTGGATAAATAGGTTTATTTGCTATTTGCCAAGTGTAATATTCTCTACATGTGGTGTGGTCTTGATGTAACTGGTCTTTTGTGGGAAGGGAGCATGCCTTCCCTGTTAAGGGATAATAATCAGGAGAATGGCTTGAATCTAAATATTATTTCACCCCAAACTAGCAATATTTCTTTGAGGGGTGGGGGTGATACAAACAGACATAATTCTAGCCCAGTGCTCCCTCTCCTCTCTGCAGAGATGAGAATGTGCTTCAGGATGAACTCCTCTTATTTCACCCATGTGATTTCTTTCTTCATAGCTGCCATGTATTTGTGAGGTTACACCACTGCCTTCTAGGAAACTGACATCTTAAAAAAAGCTTTAACCTAGGAATATTTACTTCAAAAGGCATAATCACAAATACACAAATTAATTCTGCCAATACTTAGCAGGTATAATCCTCCTCTCCTTCTGCAATATGCCTTAGGTTCTAGGGATAGGAAGGGGGATTGATTAGATTCATAGTTTAGCTTGGTTCCCATAGAGCACAGTCTCAATTCCTAGTCCAAAACACCTCTCAGGCCTGTTTCCCAGGCACCCTGGCTTCCTGGCGCTTTTATGTCAGGTGGGCTGGCTGGCAGCACCCACCAGCCCGCACTTCTGGCTCCAAGGTCATCGTGGCCTGAACTCCTGGGTCTAGTGGGGATTACCCCAGCCATCTGAAACCGAGGACAAACACCACAGAACGGAAATACACACCTGTTCCTATCACAATTTCTATTCAATAAACTCCAATGACTCCGTTACCTCCAAGATCAAAGCCTCTGGCTGGCTTTTAAAGCCCTTCGTGACTTGGCCCCTTCCTACCTGTCCAGTCTTCTTAGACCATACTTCCCCACATGTGCTGTGTGATCTGGTGAACTGGTCTTCTTGCGGTGCCTCCAATACGGCAGTCCAAGTCTCAGAGTTTTCATCAGCTGTCCCTCCTGCCTGGCATGCTCTCCCTCTTCATCTCTGCCTCTTGGGTTCCACGGCTTCCTAAAGTCTCAGCTAAAAATCCACCTCTCAGGGGCAGCTTGGTGGCCCAGTGGATAGAGCACTAGCCCTGGATTCAGGAGGACCTGAGTTCAAATCCAGCCTTAGACACATAACACTCACTAGCTGTGTGACTCTGGGCAAGTCACTTAACCCCCAATTGCCTCACCCCCCCAAAAAAAACAAAACCTTCTCTGAATGAGTGAATCTTAGTCTCGTTGGATTTGGCTTAAGGACAGAATAACATACACACTCAATTGGGTATGGAAATCTATCTTACCCTACAGGAAAACAGGAGGGGAAGGGGACAAAAGAGCAGGATGATAGAGGGGAGGGCAGACTGGGGAAGGGGGTAATCAGAAGCAAACACTTCTAAGGAGGGACAGGGTCAAAAGAGAGAATAAATGAGGGGTGCAATAGGATGAAGGGAAATTATACTCAGTTTCTCACAACATGACTACTACGGAAGTGTTTTGCATGACTACACATGTATAAGCTGTGTCGAGTTGCTTGCCTTCTCAATTAGGGTCTGAGAAGATTTGTCTAGATTTTGACATCTGGCATCAATGGAACAGGCTACAGGCTACCCTTTGCTCTCACTTCACATCTAGCTTTCTTTTAAGATCATCTGATGACATCCTTTATGTGGCTTCTAACGCATAATTTCTTTTTGGCGATGTTACGGCTTACTCACACACATTTTTGCCTTTTCAGTGACTCGGGACTTTTATTTTTCAAAGCTATCCCAGGACCCATGGTCATACAATACAAAGATGTCCACTAGGAACCAAATAAGGCTTGCTGTCAAGGCTAAAAAAATTGGCAGGGATTAATGCAACAGCTTCATTGGGGGATTGGAAGTTGCATTTCTTGGAAGTGAAACTTCATAAAGTATTGGGTCACAGGTGGGAAGATCCAGCAGAAGCACAAGTAGAGAGCCCTCAGACTCTCTGACCTCTACTTGTACTCGATATAGGACTCTTTTAAACTAGAGAAGTTGAGGGGGAAAAAAAAAGAGTTCCTTTAAGTTAGGACATAATTCTAGCCATGAATGAACAAAATCTGGAAGCCAGTAGCAAAACTGTTGTGCTGGGGCCCGCTTTTCCTTGTTCAGAATTGTGGAATCTTTCATAACTGTTTTAGAGTAGAGGTGTCAAACACAAAGCCCTGGGGCTGTATGTGGCCCAGAGTGCAGCCCGAACCAGATTAAAATGTAATGGGAAAATATTTAACAAAATAAATAAAAATAAAATAAAACAAAGATGTTAGTATGTGGTTTTCTTAGACAACATGAGGCCTGTGGGGATCTCCTGTACAGTTCAGTGGCCCCCATTTCCATCCAAGTTTGACACCAATGTTTCAGAGCATCTCTTCTCTGGACTCCCGTTTCTGGGCCACTCCCTCCACATTTGTTGGCTTTGTTTTCTGTCTCTATAGGCCTGAGATGATGGCTCCAGTGTTGATTTTGTCAGTGAGTGCTGGTTTATAATTTATAGTAAGCCACAAAAAGGAATAATGAATAGTGATAGGGAGAAGGGAATATAAAAGGATCTGTGAAATACAAAGGAGTCATAAAACATTCCTTTACCTCTCAATGCTCTAGGTAACTTTTTAAGATTGCTGACGTAGAGATGGTGCTGATATATACTAGCTGAAGGAGTTTCCTGAATGGTGGTTCCCCATACCAATGAAATCACAGTCCCTATCCCCTAAGATTCTATCAACAAAATCTGTGTCACCATAGGTTGTGGTACAGCATACATGACATTTTGGAACTAGAGTCAGGAAGATGTGGGTTCTAATCCTGCTTCTGATACTCACTGGTTGTATTACCAGGGACAAGTCACTAAAGCTTTGTAAGACTGTTTTCTCATGTGTGGGGACAATGCATATATGACATTTCACAAACTTTAATGTCTTTAAAAAAGGTCAGCAATTATTCTCTGATGCCACTGGAAACGTCACAGAAACCTACAGATACTTCTCTAAGTCTAAAGGATGCATTTATCAGAACAATCAGTAAAATCATTTTCTGGGAAATGTTCACATTAAAAGTGTCCCTATGCAGGTGGTAAAATTTATTCTATCAAAGCATTTCAAACAAACAAAATGAAACTGAAAATGCTTAATTAACAGTGATGGAAAACTGGAGCTCACTCATTATTTACGTTTCACTTTGGAAAGTACTTGTTAACTAGCATTACAAATAATCAAAAGGAGTGGAACCTGTTATAGAAATGACATTGTTTCACTCTTCAGGTACAGGATTACTGAAAACATACTATCCACTAAGTACCTGCTTCTTTAGAAGCAGATCAGCTAATATTTTAAAAAATATACAAAAAGGGTAACTTCTACTTAAATGAGAAATTTAGCAAAAATTACTCTCGGAGCACATTTAGGCAATTTTTCCCCCTTAAAAAATAAAGACAACTAAAAAGTAACACATAAACGTCTCCACTGAAGTTGCATACGTTCAGGCTGGTAGAAATGAAGTCATGAAATTAGGGTTTCCAGAGCTTTAAGAGCCCATCTTCACTGTAGGTAGCAATCAGATTCTGATGGGGATGGTGAGCGATGCCAATTACATCCTTTTCATGAACCTACAACAAAACAAAATCCAAATGTTAGGGCTAGTTAATTTTCCTGAAGAATAAGAGGTCCTTATTGTTGCCTCACCTACTTTTCTCTAGACGGGGGTTCAATGTAGTCAGTCATTATTCCTTCACATTCCTAGGGGGCATTATTCTTACTCTAGCCCCCAGGGAGAGACTGATGCCCAAAATATATAATTTTACAAAACACAAATGAATTAATGTTCCTCACATAACACCCTGAAGTTAGGATAGTATCAGATGGCATGAAAAGGGAAAAGACACTTAAGTGAAACTATTTAACATGCATTCAGAAGCTCTTGTGTCCCAACCTGGAATAATACCAGGACTCAACCTTACCCTAGAAGTCTTCTTTGTTTTTTATTTTGTTTGTAATTTAAAGACTAGACCTGTGGTTTCGTTGGCATAAGGTCTCCTTGTCCAGTGCAGCCCAGGACCTGGTCTCTAAGATCAAAAGGCTTAGAGAGTTGCCTGGGGCACTGCCTCTTAAGTTCTTGTTACTGCAAGAAAGGGAGATTTCAATTTCAAAGGATTACTGAGCTAAATCATTTAAGTGTGTTCTTTTCTCTTTCATGAGATACCCCCAAAGGTGTAAGGTGAACCTGCTTTTCCTTCACCCTGTGGGATAGAAACAGTTAGTATACAGTCTCTGGAACAGTGTTACATATGAGGACTCTCCCCCAGATACCAGAACTTTTAAGGCAGTTCAAGAACAACAGGAGTTTATCTTCCAGGCTGTGGATTTGGAACATAGGCAGAGTAGGGTGGGGCAGGCTTAGTTTTCTGTCTAAGAGCGAGAGGCAGGATAGTAAAGAAGAAAGAACACTGGGTTTGGAGCCAAAAGGACGTTGGTACAAATCCCACTTTTGTGTCTATGTTGTCTTGGGAAAATCACTTAAACTCTCCGGGTCTGTTTCCTCATCTGTAAAATGAGGAGGTCAGACTAGAAGGCTCCTAGGGTCCCTTCCAGTTTTATAATCCAGGATTTGATGATTCATCATGGAAGTTAACTCAGGATGGAAAGAGCCTCCTTGTAGTTGTGTCTACCTGAAGGGGCCATCTTCAACATAGCAAAGGGCTAAGCCTGTACCCCGGGAGAGATGGGGGTGGGGAAAGTTATGATGGGAACTGTTTGCAGTGTGGCATAATGGAAAGGGCCTGGGATTAAATTTTTTTTTTTTTTTTTTAAAGAAAAAGGAAATGCTAGACTTGCAGTCAAAAGACTTGGGTTTTTGTCCCAGCTCTGCTGCTTAACTAGCTGTGGGATCTTGGGCAAGTTATCTCTTTGAGATTCAGGTTCTTCAACTTTTAAATGGAAATAATAATATTTGTGCCACCTACCTTACAGGGTTTGTTGTGGAAGTCAAATGAGATAGCATGTATGAATACTTTGCAGTTATTAAGTGTTGTAAGTGAGTTATTACTAACGTGGGTTAGGAAGAATGTCTACGGTCATTCTGCACTCCTTGGTGGAGTTTCATCAGTTCACGACAACATTTGTTTCAGGGCTGATGCTGTTCTAATACAGGAAAGGGATGACTTATAATTCACACCAGACTAGTGTTTGGAATTTATAAAATCACCATCTTACATCTTCTATGTACAGAACACTTTGCAGTTAACAAAATGCTTTGCCACACACAAATCTTATTTAGTCTCAGAGATCTGTGATGTAGGTGGGGCAGACACTCCCACCTTACAGCCCTAGGTCCCCTGGACCCTAGGCTGCTGCTCTTTCCTTTAAGCCACATATACCAACAGTACATGAACAATGTGTTGACAGGAAATGTGTACAAAGTAAGTCTTTTTGAAGAAAGTTCAAAAGTTTAAAGGTCTTAAAATATAAAAATTCTGGCAACTCCAAGTGCAGACACCCTTTCTTCCGCAATATTTGTGAAAGATAAATGAATTAGTTTTTTCCCCCAGTTTTGTCACTGCTCTTCAGACTGTGCTTGAGGTATGACTGAACGGAGGTATCATTAAAACAGTGAACCTACATATAATTCCTTTATATAAGCACAGTGAACCTACATTTATAAGCTTCTGGAGCTAGAGGATCTTCTATGTTCCAGATATTTCTTACACCTCTGCCAAAAACTTATTGAGGTTAATTTAACCAGTATCCACTTAAGAATAATTCCAGAAAAGATAAGCTAATTTAAATTCTATACAAAAGCACAGACCTTTAGACTGGGGAGGGATCTCAGGGGCATCTAGTCTAACCCCCTCATTTTACAAAGCAGAAAGGTAAAATGAGGGGTCTAAGACGGAGCTGAGACAAGAACCCAGGAGCTCGATCCATTCTCTATCCCGCCTTTACATTTAAGGTGCTTTGTAATGACTTCTGAAAAATCAGCACTCATTATTAGACACATCTATCTGATGCAGTGATATGATACATTGGAGTTTGATGATTCCTCTTATAAAAGTAATTCTAGAATGTCATTTATATACTCATCAGAGTGTGAAGGCAATGTGGTCATGACACATCATCCCATCAACTGCTACACTTAATTTGGCTCAGCTGGTAACGTTTTCCTCTTTCATTACTACATGTTTATTTGTTTCTCCTGATTCTGTGCATTTGGTCAGAAAGAGTGAAGTACTTCAACTGATTGGTTTTTTTTTTTTAACCTTTTTGGTATCATGGACCCCTTCGATAATCTAGGAAAGTCTAGTGATGTCTTCTCATAATAATGCTTTTAAATGCATGAAATACACAGGAATACAAAGGAAAGAAAATCAATTACACTGAAATATCTATCAAAATACATTTAAAAAAAAGTTCATGGACCCCAAGTTAAGAATCTCTGTGACAGAGGGATACTGTTTTGGCCAAGTATATAAGAAAATATATGTTCTTTTATAAGTCCAAATATCTATACTCAAAAACTAACAATTCATTTTGATTTAAAACATCAGAAATTTTTTGTCTTTCATAAAAAGTTTTATTGATTTTTTTTACATTGTTATTATCTCACAATATCCCCAAAGAACTAAGCAAAATAAACTGAACAATGACCATATTTAGACCTTTCTCGAAGAACATATCTATTATTTTTTGTTTTAAGGTTTCATGATGACTTTTGACCCAACCCATTAAAGGGCTGACCTGTTTTTTCCAGACAATCTATAAGGTTCCTTCCGCCTGTGGCACTGGAAGTTTTTGTCCTGCAGTTGTTTCCCTGTTATATTTTTGAAAGTGACACGGCCCTACAGCATTAGCAGTTAAGCCGGTTTACTGATTCTCTATTAAGCTGTATATTTATGATAAAAAATATATTTAAGGAGGTAATGTTGAGGTTATTTGAAGCTGTCTGGTCCTATTATCCAGGTGTTCAACACCATCATAACTCTTTGACTCATTACTATAATGAAAGCAGTCTACTTAAGGACAAACCTAAAAATTTCAGAGCTACGGATGGACAGGGGAGTTGGTGTAACTCCCTGAGGCGGCCAGAGAAGCCGTAATACTCACTGTCAAAGTTCGTTCCAGTTTGCCAGTCACTGTGCTGAAACAGTAGAGCACAAAGTCCTCACCCACACAGTAGATCCATTCACCCCGTGGTGAGAGGGCACAGCAGACAAAGTCACCACCTTCTCTCTTACCAGAACTGAAACTCCTAACAATCTACAATCAATGAAAAAGCCTCTGTTAAGTGCCTACTATAGGTTCGTGCCAGGCACTATGCCACTAAAATGAATATACCCAGCAGCCCTCCAACAAACAAAACTCTCTCTGGATTAGCAAGTTTGTGACATGAACATGTTATTTTGCACTTACATAGTACTTTTATTTGTAATGAGATGAAAAATCCTTCATCATCTCTCTGAATTGGTAGGCTGAATTAGCCCAACCTACTTTAAAGAATATAATTCAAAGGCACAGACATAGGGAGCTTAGAATAAACTAAACATTGTCAATGGTAGATCCAAATTTAAAATTCACAGTTTGTGAGTAAATCCTATGATTTAGTCTACTAATCCCTATTACTTCTGTAAATCACCATATTTACTAGAACTTTTAAAATCAATAAACCACTGTACCAAAGTCTAATTTTATTTAAAAATCTTAATTTATTTAAACATTTTATTACTAAGGGAGATGCCCATTTAAATATTTAATTATTTAATATTAGGGGAGAGATAGCCTAATGTAGTGGCTAGAGAATTGGCCTCTGAAAACAGGAAGTCAGGACACCCATTCCGTCACTTAATCTCTCAGTTCCCAGGCAACTCTCTAAGGCCATAAGTTGTAGAGAAGATGCTAATCACAATGATAGAGGAAATTTCTATACAGCGAGCTACAAGAATCAATCACCATAGGAACAATTAACTGAAAGAAATGTGTTATTATTGCCTTACTAGCTTATGTTACTTTAGGTCAAGAGCTTTACTCAGTGGAAAATTTCTCTTTAAGTTTTCACAAAGTAACTTTTCTATCAACACCAAAATTGAACAGAGAACTGTGTGACAAAAACTGCCAGCTGACACTAAAGAGAGGAGATAGCAAATCAGGTTGGGGGACTACTTTATGATGAGTGTTTAATAAGTTACAGATTCTAGTATTTAGATTAAATGAATAATTTACTAGGTGCAAGGAAATTCGGTAGACTATGTAACAATACAGGAAGGCACACAGCATGGCAGGACAGAGAAACATAAAGGTTACGGGGAACTTTTAACGAAATGCTTCATAAACCTAAGGAATTTAAATGATTTTATGTAAAGCCCATCTAGTTTATATACATTATGGGAAAACATTACAAAAGAAAGGATAAAATGACAGCAATTTTTTTTAACTAAGCTTGGATGAAAGGACGATCCTATAATTCACTGCTCTGTATGTACTGGAAGGAGCCAGTGCATTTTCTGATCACCCACCTGGCCTTGCATGTTCATAATGACCACTGTATTTGATCTGTTACACACAACAAAGTGCTCAGGATTTTTAGGAAGAAGGACAACACTGTTGACTGTGATGTCTGTCCCTGCAGTGCTGCCAAGAGATTTGAAAGTATTTGAACATTCTGTGGTCTTCATATTCCAAATCTATCAAAACAAGAAACACAGGAAAGTTTTAAACATATCCATGTCTTCTACTGTAGGACTAAAAGGGTTTTTAAAAGGACAACTAAGGCAACACAAACCAAAAAATGAAAAGCTTTTTATGCTAGTTTGATATATTCCACACCTTATATATTGGCAATTGTTCAGTAGGTATTTATTATTATCATCATGACTATTTCTACCTCTTGCTTTGTTTAGTGGTTACGACTGACATACAGAGGGGTACAAGGAGACAGTATTTTCCTCAGTCCTCAGTCACTGAGGCAGAAATGATGACAGCTCACCTAAAATCACTCTTGTATGAATTCTACCAAAAGCACATTAAAGGGTAGTCCTCTCCATCTTAATTCTTTTCATCTCCCTTCAATGCTGTGTTATGAATCAAACAAGAGATGTATCCATAACAGAATATGCAGAGTTGATGCAGAAGCCCAGAGAGTTGGGAGGTTAAGAATTATATATTCCAAGACCGGTATTTTACAGATTGGGAAACTGAAATGCTGAGTGGCAAGATGATTTGCCAAGGTCACAAAAATTAGCCTAAAGGGCAGAGTTGGGAGTTGAATCTAAGTCCTTTGATTCCAAATCAAGTGCTCTTGCCACTCTACCATGGCCAGTAGACCCTGGCTCTGACAAGTAGGCCCTGACAGTCAGGCTTCTGTAGATTCACTGGTCACAAGAGGCCCATCTCTATACATTTGTTCTTGAAAAGTCCTACATCAAAGGCTCTGGGAAGGAAGAGGACCTTGCTGTGTCACTGAGGACCAAGGCTGAGCTTCGAGTTACTCGCCCTTATTTTCTAGGTCCAGTCAGGACCAGTGACTTACAAGTGAATGACCCTGTGGCGTTCAGCCATACATCAGCAGCTGTATTTAGTTAACAGGTTAATCCCATGTCTATCCTGGGACATAAACAACAAAGTAACATTTCACTCCTCCTCCACCCTCACCCCGCCATTTCTGAATTTCCATTATCCTGAACCACTGCCCCATGTCAGGAATTAGGATATTAACAATTGGAAGGGACCACAGAAGCCATTTAGATCAACACAAAACTGAAAAAGAATCTCCTTTACAATCAAATAAATGCCCATCATACCCTGATTAAATACGTCTGCGGGGAAATCAAGTCTGTCTGAGGGCAGCTCATTCCAACAGGACAAATAATCTAGTTGTTCCTCAGTTTTTTCTTACAGAACAAATCCAGTTTTTCTCCCAATTTCTGACGCTGCTTCAAACACCTGAAGACAACTACCACGTTTCCCCTAAATCTTCTCCTCCTCAGGTCAAATGTCCCTAGCTATTTCAGCCAACCTTCCTGAGGCAAGAGCTCGGGTGTCTTTCCCATCCTGATTGCCCTCTGGATTTTTCCCAACTTGTCGGTGTCCTTCCTAAAATTCGGTGCTTAAAGCTAAGCACAGCGTTCAAGACATAGTCTGAAGGCAGAGGAAAATGGGTCAGTAACACCCCCATGTGGACAAGCTTCCTCCCTCACCGCAGGGGAGTGACATTTTTTCCTGTTGCCTCCTCTGAGATGCTCATCTCCCTCCTGCTTTTCCCCAAGCTCAAACCACTTCTGACTCTGCCTTTTTGAATTCCTGCTCAAAACAGGCTTCCCTACAATTGCTCCTTTTCTAGCACTAAGTGAAATGAAAGCTGGTTATCATCCAGGCTACAACTTCCTTGGCAATCCTCTCCAATGGAAGCTGCTGCTACAATTACTCTACCGCCCTTTCAAGATGAGATAGAAGAATGACCATGTCTCCCTATTACTACTTTCAGATCAGGACTGTTGACTTCGATATTCATCGTAACTCCAGGGATTCCTACCTCTGTCACCCAGACATGGTCATGTTGTAGATCATACTATTACCTGAGACAGCTATACTTGAGACCTCAAAGGTCAAAATTATCTTTCCAACCACAACTTCCTTCCCTTTTGACCTTTTAAAAATTCCCTCAATCCTCCTGAATCTGCTCCATCCCCCCAAATTAGTCATTTCAATTATGTACTCCACACTACCTTATAATTCCTTGCCCACTGACCAGTTTCTGCGCAGCTAATTTGCAGCATTGGTGTCCATTACCATCTGCATCCAGAATGCTTAGCACTCGTGAAGAAAATCACTGATTTTGTCTCTTATAGATTTACATTTTGTAACTTGAACTGGCACTTTGTGGTTGTACGGAAAACATTTTCCCCATCATTTATCAATTTTAAAAAATCACTGTTTCCCACAGCACCTATTCCAAACACCTCTCCTTTCTCAAGTCCTTATCCCCTTTTCCCCTTTTCCTTTGCAAAGATAAAAAGAATGAATATATATGATAATCACTGTTTCATGCTGACATTTTGTAGGCTGAAGATAAGGTGGTTTTGGCTGATAGGCAACACCTTGGGAATTAATATTTAGTACATTGCAGGGTACTACGAAATGATGCATAAAAGTCTTGTATAAGTAACAGCATTAGCCATCTGGTTCAAATTATGGAATAGAGTTCTTGTGACTACCTATCACAGCATAAACAAATACATGTACCTAAGAGTCTTGATGTCTGATCTTACCCGCAAAAGGACGCTGATTAGCCATCAGAAGTACTTTGTGCAACGATATAACAACTGAAATATTTTACACATTATAATTTATCTAGGGATATCTGGGTCTGTGTATGAATGAATGAATATAGCAAATAGCTACTGATCATGTTCTATTTAACTACTTATGCCTTAAAAAAAAAGTGGAGCAAACTTCATTATTGATCTTAAACTATTTCTTCCTTAGTCCCTTTTCCTCACATTGCTTTTCTGTAGTACATTTATTGCTTGTTTCCCAATCTGACTGCACTTTCTTGAAAGGCATGGCTCATATACCATGTATTTTAAAAACATTCTCCATAGTTGTTAGCATCTTGCCCCACATACGGCATATATTTGCCGAATTCTGAAGCTTCTCTACAACACCCCTGATGAATGGACACTGAACCTGTGCTCAAATATCTTCAGTAATGGGGAACCCAGTTACCTAACATGACATGGACTGGCATGCCGATTCCAACTCTGGATGGCCCTAATTTTTACGAAGTTCTTTCTGAGCTGAAATCTTTCTTCTAACCACAGCTCCTAATTCTACCCTCTGAGGCTAAATGGAGCAAACTTAATCCCTGTTCTATATCATAACCCTTCAAACATGCAAATTCAAAGACAATGATCAAAGACAAAAGTCTTCTTTTGTCCAAGCCAAACACCTTTAGTTTCTTCAATTAAGCCTTATGAGAGAGTTGTGAGTACTTCTGAACTACCTTTTCAATTCAACAAGTGTTTCTTAATTTCATACTATATGCCAGGCACTGAGCATAGGGAAACAAAAGCAAAAAATGAGACAGCCACAGCCATCAAGGAGGGTTATTTACTTTTCATTCACAATAATGTTTAAAAGGATGATTGAGATTTCTAGCCCCCACCTACCACTAGAAGACGGGAGTTAATTGTCCATGCAATATCTCAGTTGTCAAAATTTAAATACGACAACAGTTACAACAGGACTACTTTAATTTCTTTCTGAACATATTCTGCATTATTTTTTGTACTTAATTTTCTGTGTACATGCTACTTCACTCCAATAGAATGTAAACTCCCTGAGGGCAAGAGTTCTTCCATTATTTTCTTTTTATCCTCAGGGCTTAGCACAGGGCCTGGTACATCACAGGTGCTTAATAAATGCTTGCTAGAATTTATATAATAACAAAATTGTAAAAATGAACAACTTTGAAAGACTTAATAACTCTTAACCAATCATAAAACAAGCTACCCACCTCCGGTGAGAGAAATGATGGACTCAGGATACAGACTGAGATGAACTTTTTGGACATTGCCAATGTAAGAATGTGCTTTCCTTCACTATGAATTTGTTAAAATAGTTTTGTTTTCTTTCCTTTTCAATGGAGGGGTGGGATGGAGAGAAAATAGATTTCCATTAATTAAAAAAAGAAAGGAAAAAGAATATGCTGAATTGAAATGGATTCATTTCATGTGAACAGGTAGCTCTCACTACTGATAAGGCTTCAGAGATTGAAGATGAAACAGATATCCCAAAATAAATTATTTCAATGACAAACTACTTAACCTTCACAGTGCCATCAGATGATGCACTGATTATATAATGTCCATCTTGAGTAAAAGTAGCTTCATTAACAAATGAAGAATGACCACGGAATTCCTTCAAGGTTTTCCCAGATTTTAAGCCGTGAATTCTGTCATGGAATAAAAAAAATAAATCAACGCAACAACAATAATGGCTGACATTTCTGTCATGCTTTAAGTTTCATAAAGTGCTATACATATATATCTCACTTGATCCCCACAACTTTGGGAGGTAGGTATTGTTGGCATTATACCCATTTTACAGATGAGGAAACAGAGGTCAATGAGGCTAAGTGACTTGCACATCATCACACAGATGGTTAAGTGTCAGAGACAGATTTGTATTTCGACCCAGCCTTCTCTGTACTACATTACCAGATCTTTGTACTAGGAATTATAATGCATGCAATGTCAAGAAGGAAAAATCATTTAAAATTAGGAAACATAAATAGCCTTTTCTTTTTTTTTGGTGAGGCAGTTGGGGTTAAGTGACTTGCCCAGGGTCACACAGCTTGTAAGTGTCAAATGGTTGAGGTTGGATTTGAACTCAGGTCCTCCTGACTCCAAGGCTGGAGCTCTACCCACTGTACTACCTAGCTGCTTTCTTAAAAGAGACATTCTAAATCCAGAGTTGAATAGTGTTGAAATCACTTACAAAGAAGAAATACTTTTGAAATCACATTACTTTAAGTTATAATACTGGGGATGATTTAGTGCCCTATAACTACTTTGAAAGATACTTAAATACTTGGGATTATACCAAAAGTAAACCTTCTGTATCCTACCCTGTCATTTGATGATTATCTACAAACTTGTTTATTAGAACTGTGTGACCTGAACCATTTCTTGGCTATATTTTCCTGATAAAAGACCCAACCTGACTGTAATAGTCTAAGTATGACTTTCCTGGAGACATAAAGGGTTACAACTGCCCCAGTCTCATCTTTGTATTATTTTAACAACTCATACTTATATGTCAAGTTAAAATTTGCAAAATATTTTTCTTTTTTAAAAAATATTTTAAAATATTCTATTTTTACTAATTGTATGTGAAAACAATTTTAAGAATTTTTTTCTTTTCCAAATTTTGAGTTCCAAATTCTCTCCCTTCCTCCCCCCATTGAGAAGTCAAGCAATTTGACATACCTTATACATATGCAGTCATGCAAAACTCCAAAATACTTTGCTTAAATGACCTTGAGAGGTAGGTGGTGAGAAGACTATCCCTACTTTACAAAAAAGGAAACAAACTCTAAGAAGTTTCTGTTATGACCTTTTTGCTATTTAAGTATCTCTGAGGAAGCTCTCGAGAATTCATCCACTACATGTTTCTTCTTATCACACTAAAAGATGGTATTTTTGCATCCAAATGTACCTGATTGTCTGATCAAAAGATGCACTAAGGATCTGACTGCTGTCCTTAGAGAAGCTTAGGCAGGTGACACCTTTACTGTGTGCCCTTTCAAATCTCCGTAAACACTGTCCACTCTGTATCTTCCACACCTAGAGAAATTAAAAACCGTTTATGTTTGTGAGAGCATTCCTTTTATCATACACAATCAACAAAGAAACAATTCCTGTTTGTGTATCTATTTTTAAAAATGTAAAAAAAACTAAATTCTGTGAAAATAGCATAGAAATTATTTGTTCAGCTGAACTAAATAAAATATAGCAATAGCTGAATCCTTTTAATTCAACACTGTTAAATAAAATTTAGAGCCCAAGTTAATTTGTTGGAGGGGTTCCCTCCTTTTGAATTCAACCCGGTCCCCAATAGCCTACCTGTCAAAAAATCCAAGCAACAAAGTATCAGCTGCAGGCTGTTCCCTTGAAATCATAAATAAATAGCTATACAGTTTCCTAGTCTTATTGCAATGGAATATGGAAGATTTTTGCGAGAAGGAGCTCATATAATTAACTCATACCTTTATTTTCCCATCCTGGGCCCCCGTTGCTAACATTTCTGTATCTCTGCTGAAACACATACATAGTACAGCATCATCCATCATCATAAAATTGTCTTGTGCCTGGTACTTGAGATCCTAAAGAAAATGATATTAAACTGTTACTAAGACAACCTCTAAATGAAGGCAGCTATAATTGGACTTTAGCAAAGACCATTTATTTCATACTGCAAATTCCTTAAAATCAGGAATAATTAATTTTTTCACATTCTATAAAACTCCACACCACTAAGTTCTGTGCCATGCACATAGATGATGCTTAATACACATATGATTTTGATTTATTTAAATAGTTAAAGATTCATGAAAATAATGCCAAGGTTGTGTGCTTAGTGATGTGTGTGTGTGTGTGTGTGTGTGTGCTCACGTGTGTGCGTGTGTATAATCAATTGATACATTTGGATTTGCATGCTTAGCATTCTAGGAACTGTTATTACTTCCTAAGTACCATGTCTGAAATTAGGGTAAACTGTCATCAGGTAGGAAGTAGTGCCTTGCCTAATGGCATCATGGTCCAGACAAGTCAGTTTCTCGTATTTGTGTCTAAGGAACAGAGAACACCCTTTCTAACTCAATTATGCTTTTTCTATAAAAAAAAAAACTAGAAAAGCAACTCACTATAAATACTTCAGAACACTGCATTTAAATAGACTACACAATTCAGAATGAGATAAACATGAGCTAGGTGCTGGGGATAAAAGTACAAAAAATAAAACAATCTATACTTGGAAAAAGCTCACATTCTAACTGGGAAAACAACAAGCACATATACAAATACATGTAGCATAAATATAAAGTGAATAAATACAAATATACCAAGTAGTTAAGTACAAAGTAGTTTTGGATGAAGGGCACTAGCATTTGGGGGGATCAGGAAAGACTTTATGCGGAAAATGGTGCCTGAGCTGCAACCCAAAGGAAGAGAGTGACTCCACAAGATGGACATAGAGAGTGAGTACATTTAAGGCAAGTGAAATGGTCAGGGTAAAGACATAGAGACTACAGATGGGTATAAGGAACAGAAAAAAGACCAGTTTGGCTAGACTGTAGAGTATGAGGGGTAACGCTCAATGAAGCTGGAAAGAGAGGCTGGAAGCCAGATTATGTAGGACTTTAAAACCCCTTTAAGAGAGGGGTTTATATTTTATCCTAGAGGCAACAGGAAGCCACTGAAGTTTACTGAACAGGAAGGTCACGTGATCAAACCAAAAATTATTTTGGCAGCAGTGTGCAGGGCAGATTGGAATTGAGAGAGATGTGAGGCAGCATGATCAATTAGAAAGCTTTTTGCAATAATCTAAGTGAGATGTAATGAGGATTTGAACTAAGGTGGTAGCTACGTGAGTGGAGAGAAGGGGTCTGATGTAAGGGATGTTGGGAAGATTGAAATGGCAAGATCTGAAAACTGAATGGATATGTGGGGTGAGGGAGAGTGGGGAATTGAGGATAATGGGTGAGGTTACCGACCTGGGAGACTAGAAGAATGATGGTATCTTCAAGAGAAATAGGAAAATGGGGAAGAGGGGATGATTTAGAGAGAAAGTTAAGTGTAGTTTTAGACATGTTGAGCTTATCCAATTTGATATATCAAATAAGCAACTGGTGATGTGGGACTTAAATTCAAGGGAGAGAATGGGGCTGCATCTAAAGCTCTGGAAGTTATCTGCAGGCAGATGATAGTTAAACCCATGAAAGCTGATGAGGTTACTATAAGAGAGTCTAGAGGAAGAACAGGGCCTTTGAATTATTCAAATGGTTAAAGGTCATGCAAATAATTCCAAGGTTGTGTGCTTAGTGATATATGTAATCAATTTATACATTAGAAAATCCTGAGGAATATCCATTTAGGGGTGTGTAATATGAATGATGAGCCAGCAAAGGATTCTGAGAAGAAGGGAAAACTAGGAGAGCGGTATCATGAAAACCTAAAGGTATAAAATGCAGTAGGTAGGTTGAAAAGGTTAAGGACTGAGAAAGACCATCAGATTTGGCAATTACGAACATAGCAAACAACAGAGAGAGCAGTTTCAGTTGGGTGTGATATGTTAAGAAGCTGAGAAGTGATTGAGAGGAGAGGAAATACTGGTATTTCCAAATGGATGTTTGAAAGGAATCTTGAATTCAGGATGTCCAATTATCCAGCCTCCTCTCCAGCCTCCCTCCACTCCCTCCCCCTCCCCCCTACCTTTCCTCTTTATAACTTCCCTACTCCTGTTGAGGGCATCACTATCATTTCAGTCACTCAGATTTGCACCCAGATTGCAGTAATCTGACTCTAATCAGTTGCCGAGTCTTCTGGATTCTATTTGCACAGTATCTCTTGAATTCTGTCCCTTTCCTTCCACTCAAAACAGCCACTACTATAGTGCAGGACTATAACATCTCTCACCTGGACTACTGCAACAACTCCTAATTTTCTTGCCTCGTCTTCTACTTTTCCAATCCATCCTGCAAACAGTTGCCAAATTAATATTCCTAACAAATAGGTCCGGCGACATCACTACTCTGCTAAAAAGACTATAATGAACTCTATGAAAAACTCTAGCCTCTAGGATAAACTAAAAACTCCTCTGTTCATCACTTAAAACACTTTACAATCAGGCCCTAGTCTATTTTTCGAGGCTTAAAGTATATTATTCTCCTTCATACAGTTTTGCTCCGGCCAAAGTAGACTACTTGCTCTTTCTTGTACGTGATAGTGCATCTCCTATTTTGCCATGCCTAGAATGAACTCCCTCCTCATGTCTATCTTCTAGATTCTTTTAGCTTCCTTCAAGGCTCAATTATTTTTGCCTTTTTAAATTTATTTGTAATATCTGAGGTGTAATATATGTCAATTTTTTTTAAAGTTTCATGAGTACTGAGAAATACAAATTTTTTAGTAGTTTCATTTAGAAGCCATAAATCTTTCAGCTCTAGTTTATCCAGCAATTTGTTCAGTTTCATTTTGCTCATCTTTCTGTTACATTTATCCAAAGCTGGGAGAGACACTGAAATCTCCAACCACTATTGTGTTACTATGTCTTCTTGTAGTTTGGTTAATTTTTCCTTTATGAATTTAGATGTTAAGGCATTTGAAGCACATGTTTTATATTGTTATTGGTTGTTCCCTATGGTTCCTTTTAGCATAACAAAATTTCCTTGTTTATCCCTTTTTTTGTTTTGAATGCTTGTTTCTGATTTGCTGACAGCACGACTGCAATTCCTGCTTTTTTGGATTTACTTAATGCACAGTAAATTGGTTTTCCTACCCCTCATTTTAATTCTGTGTATGTGTTTGTTTTTAAAATGTGTTTCTGTTAAGCAACAGACTGTGAGGTTTTGTTTTCTTATGCAGTCTGTCACTCTTTTTCTCATTTTACTGGATTGTTTAGTCTGTTCCCATTTAAAGTTGTAAGTTAGGTTTTTATTTTCCTCCATTTATCTTTAATATTTTTTTTCCTCCAAATTGAGATTTTTTCCCTCTTCCTGTATAAACACAGTATTGTTTCAAGTTATTTCAGCTTAGTGTATTTTAAGGTAGCCCTACTCCCATGAGCTATCTTCCCTGTGTCTGCAAATCCCATCTCGTTAATTATCCTTTTCTTTAGTGTTAAAAATTCTGCTTAACTTATTATGAGTTTTTTTTAAATTCTTCCTCTCTTTCTCCTTTCTAACTGGTCAAGTAAAATCAACCTTCAACTTTTAAAATTTCCTTTTTCGGCTTCTTTTTCTGAAAAGGATTTCTTTCTCTTATTTTCTTCATTATTTATCTTCCTTGTCTATTCCAGCCTTTTGATTTATGGCCCTTATGGTTATTTTATCCTTCTTCCTTCTCTGTTTCCTCAGGAATTAAAGTTTCTATGACAGCTTTTTTGGGTTCCTCTTCTAAATAGTTTTTGTTTTCATCATATATCTTCACCCTCCCCACTCTAGTCCCCTTTTCCGCTGTGTCTCTCAGAAATAACCCATTCTTGCAGGTGACAGAGAAGATTTCACCTCAAGGAAGAAATTTTCCTATGTCCCTGGTTGTGTGATTCATTATTAACCTTTGTCCTTTCTATGGTTACTTTTTTCCCCATTTGCTTTGAAATTTCTTCCCAGGTCTATGTTCTCCTACTGTTCTGGGTATCAATTGCCCCCAGAAGCTCTGTGGTTCTTCTAATTACCAAAGCCCTGCAGATTCTATCCAGTGTAAACTCCTGATCTCCCTTTATATACTCTCTCTTCTCCCACGGCAGCATGCATCAGTACCTTAAGGCATCACTAAAATAAGATTTTCCTATTTCTCCTTCTCCTCCACCCCCCAAAATCCTTTCCTTTCCTCCCCTGCCCATTCTTTTGCATGCTCTCTTCTTCCCAAGAGACTAAAGAAGTTATTTTCCTTCATTGCTAGCTTCTGACTTAATTAAGGTACTTCACATATTCCCCTCTGTTTTCTTCCTTCCTTCTTCACCACTTTTATGCATTCTCCTATTCTGTAATTTAGTCCTTTAAAAAAAAAAAAGGTAACAATTCACCTGTAGGTGGGGGATGCTATGTTTAGTTTGTGATGTTTTCAGGCCTCTCTCCACCCACATTTCTATTTCACTTCTGCTTTTACCCTTGCCTTCTTTGTATGCATTAAGACAGAAATCTCTTAATGGTTGCTCTGTAGAGCAGAATTATACCTTAAGCTCCTTTACTTTTTAGAATCTATTATTCCATTTTCTCTGGTGATTTTGGGTGGGTGCCAAAGAGTCTTGTGTTATTTGAATTCTTTTGCATTTTGAGTTTTTTCTACTGGTCACTTGCATAATTTGTTGTCAGTGGAATAGTTAAATTTAACCATTAAGTCTCTGGAAATTTGAAGCATAGGTTTTTTTTCCTCCTGGAGGTAATCTATGGATTCTTTTAATTGGAACTTTGTTTTCTGTATTCAGAAGTTCTGGGCAGTTTTCTTATGTTATTTCTTGTATTATGGCATTCATATTTTTTGCTTGGGTTCTTCTAGGAGCCCTATAATCCTTAAGTTCTCTCTATGTCTCCTGTTTCAAAAATCAATAGGTTTTTCCCCAGACTGTCCTTTACTTCTATATATTTGTATTCCCAATCTCTTTCATTTCTTTGGTGAGACTTGGCATCATGAATTCAAGTTTTTGTATTTTGCTTTTCTGCTTTCACAATTCTTTTTCAAACCATCCAGCAACATCCTATGGTGGTTTCATACACTCTTAGGAATCCACAGGATCTTCTGCCTCATAAGGTAGTGATTCATTTTCCTTTGTCTTGCAATACTTATTTTTAGATGTCTGTACTCTTTTACCTAATCTGGAGGCCACAGTCCTTTCTATTACTAAAATTTTCCTTGTTGGTTTATTTACTTATTTTCAAAGTCTTGAGTTTTATTCTTCCTGAAATCTTTAGCAATTTCAGTTTTTTCTCCCTTTCTTACAGTTCTCTATTGCTCATGTTCTGACCTTTTCCCTTTGATAGTGGTTTCTCTTGGGGCCAGACTTCAAAGCTAGCTCATTGTCTCCTCCCAAACTGAGCAATTCATGATTTACCAGCTTCAGTCACTGCCCCAAATCATTTCTGTCTGTCACTCTTTTTTTCATTTTACTGGATTGTTTAGTCTATTCCCATTTAAAGTTGTAAGTTAGGTTTTTATTTTCCTCCATTTATCTTTAATATTTTTTTTCCTCCAAATTGAGATTTTTTCCCTCTTCCTGTATAAACACAGTATTGTTTCAAGTTATTTCAGCTTAGTGCAATACGTTATAGCCTCCATACTTTATTTTGTAATCCCTGTGTGGGTTTCAAGTGATTCATTTTCCTTTGTCTTGCAATACTTATGGGATACAGAACTTTTCCTAGATGGATGTTGGGGTTTCTTTCTAAGGCTTAGTTGAGTGCTGCAGAGGCACCTACACATATTCCCTTTGATCTTTAGCTCTCTGATTGAGCTCTTTTGCAGTACAGAGCACCACCATGCTGCTTTCGCAGCTTGAGCAAAGGCCTGCCTTTTGGATTTCCATGATACTGGGAAGAGGGAAGGGTAGAACTGAATTCTGTTGTGTTGGCTTGTTCTTCATTGCTACTGGAGTGTGGTGGGCAGTGGGGGAGGGGACACTGTGTGAGTGCACTAGGAGTTAAGGATTAATCTTCTCTGCAGTTAGCTTCTTGAATTGTTAATTTTGTTTAAGTTCTTGGTGTCTTAGAACATGGAAGACAGCTGAAATTGCTTTATCTCTTGTGTATAACTCTTATTCTGGAGAGGTCTGAGAGATCATGATGACTGGAGAAAAATGCCTATTCTGCCATCTTGTTGGTAACACGACCCCCATACTTTCTAGGCTCACTCAAGTGCAACTTGTGACTTCAAGTTAGTAGTTCCCTCCCATCCAAAAGTTACTTCTCTGTGTACTTGTTGTTTTCTCCCAAAAGAATGTAACTTACTTGAAGGCAGGAACTGTTTCATTCTCATCTTTGTATTCCAAGAGCCTAGCACAGTGCCTAGTACAGAGCAGGAACCTGTAGATTCACTCCAACTAGCAGTCTGCTGTTTTCTTAACAACAGTTAACTTTGACAGTTTCAGGAATATTGTTTTCTCTACCATATTTAAGAGTTCAGATTGTATAGCTAAAAAAAAACAAACCTATCTATAGTCATCCATTCTTCCACCAAGAAAATTTAAGCACTTTAAATTTACATTACCTTCCTAATTTTTCCAGTTGTAAAGTTCCATACTTCAATAAATCCATCAACAGAGCCAGTTACCAGATACTGGCCATCTGGAGAAAATCGAGCACATTCCACATGTGATTTCTGGCCAAACTGTTTTAAAGAAAAACAAAGAACACATATTTTACTGAAGGTTCCCCCCCCCCCCCATCTAAACCCTAACCATCTGGTAATGCTGGACTATCTCACAGAATAAACTAAGAATTCCTTGGTTGGTCTCATTGAAAGTTTCGAAGGAAAAACTGAGAGAAAAGCAAATGTCTGCTTTCTAAGGGGTCTTTGCTTTGGAATTCCAGGATCTGTTGGTAGGAGCTAAGTCCTTTTCTTAGACTGTATTTTTGCCAAGGCCCTTCAGTTCAACTACTTTACTACTTTATAACAGGGCTAATGGCAGAAAGTGCCACTAGTTCTAACTGACTATATCAGATTCTATCTAGTTTCCCTCTAGGGGTAAACACTATATAAGTATTTACAGGTATCACTTTCACCTTTTAGAGTTACATCTGAAAACTTCCCAAATATCCTTAATATTAATATTAATATAGACATTTTCAATATTATTGATTACTATATACAGGCACTTTTCATTACTTAAATTAAGATAGTGAGATAATATATTTTAATAGAGACAACACAACTAAGAAACCTTCACATGTTCTTTATCTACTTTTTTTGGGAGGTGGGGTATATTTACCTAATGAGGAAGCTAAGGCTGAGATAGGTTAAGTGACTTGCCCAGGTGTCACATAGCTAGGTAAGTATCTTAGGTAGGATTTAAACTTGGATATTCCCAACTCCAAGTCCAGGACTCTATCCACTTTGCCAGTTAGATGCCTATTTATTGTGATAGAGTGGATAGAGGTAACTTTGGAGTCAGGAGGACTTAGGTTCAAGGCCTGCCTCTGTCACATACTACCTAAGTGACCATGGGCAAGTCACATAACCCCTCAAGCGGTCTTGATTTTATCAATACAAGGAACTCCCTCCACTGATGAAGAAGGGCAACTCATTTTTCGCTTATAGTCTTTGGGTTGGCTACAGCACTGAGGAGTTACGTGACTTTCCCACAGTCACACAGGTAGTATGTGATAAAGGCAGGTTAATTCTCTATCCACTATGTTACAAAGCCTCGCTTTAACTACTTCATGTTTATAAAAATGCTTAAGTACTTAATAGACACGTAATAGTCACCAAAAATTATCTTACTGTGAAAGTTGAAATGTAATACAAAAGATCAATTCAACATTCTGTATCACTGCTAAAGATCTTAAAGATTGTAAAATGCTTTGTAAATTTGTATTAAATTTAACTTGAAACCCACACAGGGATTACAAAATAAAGTATGGAGGCGATAACGTATTGCAAATGGCAATATCACTGAATATGACCTTTCTTAAATAATTCATAAATAATACAGATATTAAAAAGTAGAAAAAAGCCAGCTAATAATCAGTAGTATAGACTAGAAAAGAGATTAACATACTGCTGAACAAATAAACCCATAGAAATTATGCCAAATTCATGTTTCTAATTTTCATTAATCTATGTGTAAAATTAAATAAATTACTCATATTATCATTTGTAGAATGGGAGTAATAGTACTTGATCTACCTTAAAGAGCTTTTGAGAGGAAAGAACTTTTTTCCCCCCCTTTTTGGTGAGGCAATCAGGGTTAAGTGACTTGCCCAGGGTCACACAGCTAGTAAGTGTCCTGTGTCTGAGACTGGATTTGAACTCAGGTCTTTCTGTCTCCAAGGCCAGAACTCTATCCACTGTGTCACCTAGCTGCCCCAGAAAGAACTTTTCAAACCTTAAAAACACTATATAAATTTGAATTATTATGTCTGGGACTAGGGCTGCAACATTCTTAATAGCAGAGAGGAGTACATCAGACACTAGATACAACACTGAAGTTATATTAAAAAATGATAGTTTGCCAAGTCAGAGAAAATGTTATAAGTGCCCACCTTAATGTGTCTGCTTAACTGTGTAGGAAACTTCTCTTCTTCCACATCTTTTACAGCTGCTTTACCTCTGAACAAATCAATAGTCATACCAGGAGGAAGCAAACCTTGGTGCTGTTGCCACTTCAAAGCCTAAAAAGATATTTAAAGAAATTCAATTTAAAACATAAGAAAACTGATTGTTCTACAGGCTAACCCTAACAGAGTGGAATTTTGTTTTGATAATTCTCAGAACAGACTGGCAAATAGTTCAAGGCTACTCACGAGGCTGCAATAATACCGAAGAAAGTAAAGAAGGAAAGTTAGTAAAAGGAAAGATGAAGATGAAGTTGAATGCTGTGTAATTATAATGACCAAGCTTGACCCTGAAGAATAAAGAAGAAAATGTATCTCCCTCTCTTTTGCAGAAGTGGGGAGGAACATAGCATAATGTAATGTTAGATTAGTTAATGTGTTGGTTAGCCTTGCTGAAATGTCTTTTACCTCTCTTTTAATTTTTTGTTATACGGGATGGATCTCTGGGGACAGGACACATTTGGAAATGAAATTGATATAAAAATAAAAGGTATTAATAAAAAGGAAGAAGGATTCGATTTATTTACTTTTCTGAGTACCTTCCTTGGTAGCCTTGAGGGATCAGCTGTCGACATATAAGCAGAACTTAGTTTGGGCGAAGACCTTTTTAAATTTGTAAAGTCAATTTATACACAATAATGCATAGTCCTTTACCTGTCCCAACAGTGCCATAAGACGAGACGGAGGTACAACACTGACTTCTCCAGCTAAAGCCTGTGCAATTGCTGCTCTTCTTTTCTCCTTGCTGCTTCCATCTGGATATGCCTGGTAAAGGGCCAGAAGTGAAAATCACTACAGGAAGAAGTGGTTATAAGGTACTGATAAAATCACTTTGAAAAATCTCACTATCACTCTGGAAAACTATCTGAACTGTGAATCACAGGTTTATTTTTTAAAAGGCCCCACATTTGCATACCTAATTTTCAGAGAATCATGAGAGGAATGGCAACATAAAGTCACCTTGACATTATTATGTTTAAAGTAGTTTAAATAATTGTTGATCATTGTTCATAGTATTCTTAAAAACTTTTCAAAAAACGAGACTCAATATACCAACATAGCAAGATAACACTTTTTTCTCCTCCTTTTCTCTTCCTTAACTGTTCTCTAATTCCCTCTCCAGAAGTTGTTCTAAACCTCTTTTCTTGTCAGGTCGTCCACACCATCTCCTCCCCACTGCCTCCTTTTCAGCTGAGGACCTAACACACTTTACTGAGAAAAGAGAGGCCATTTGCCTCTTCCCTACATCTTGGAACCCCCTTGACATCATCATCATCTAACCCCCCCCCCAATTTACTCTAGTCTCTGATGAAGAGGTGATCCTTCTCTTCATCTTTGATTTCATTCTCTTCCATCTTTCCCCATCATTATCCCTACCTCCCTTTTTAAACTTTAATCTCTCCATTTACTGATACCTTCTCTGATTCTTACAAACATATCCAAGTCTTGACCATGTCTGAAAAAACTCTAATTAGTCTCTACCAACTCCTCCAGTGATCATTCTGTATCTCTCCCTACTAGCACACCAAAATTCCCAGAAAAAGTTGTCTCCACTTTCTCTCCTCTCACTCATTCACTTTTTGATCTTTGCAATCTGGCTTTCAGGCCCTCATCATTCAACTGAAGTTTCTCTCTCTAAAGTGTTCTATAATTTCTTAACCACTAAACCAATCAACAAGTACTTGTTAAGTGACTTCTAGTGTCAGTACTGTGCTGAGCTTGGGGATACAATAGATAAGACAAGTGCTACTTTCAAAGAGCCTATATTCTGTCAGGGAAGACAACATATACATATGGAATAAATATAAAATGAATGCAAGGCAGTGAGGAAGTATGGGTGGGCATAAGCAGTTGGGATATTTGAGTGGTATCTTGAAGGAAGCGAGGGATCTGTGACAAAGTGGTGAAGAGACAGTATATTCCATGCATGGGGGGCAGGCCAGCAAAAATGCACAAGGCAGGAGGAGGAAGGCTGCCTATAAAGGAAAGGCCAGGTTGGCTGGACTAGAGTGTGAAGGAAGGAGGGTAAGGTATAAAGATGCTAGAAATATAGGTTGGGGCTGGCTTGTGAAAGGCTTAAAAACCTCATTCTTCTTGATTTCTGTGTAAGATCCGACAGTTTTCACAACCCTTTTCTCCTGGCCTGGCTCTTAGATCTCTCTGGGCTTCTGTGACACTGTTCTCTCTTGGTTCTCTTCTTCCCGGTCTGACTATTTTCTCTCAATCTCCTTTGCTGGTTCATCATCTACATCATGTCTCCTAACTGTGGGTCGAAGATTAAGTTCTGAGCCCACTTCCAATCTCTCTCACTCTTTTACTTGATGAACTCATTGTTTCCCCGGGTTTAGTTATCATCTCCACGCAGATAGTTCCCAGATTTGTTAATCCATCTTGTCTCCCTTCAGCTTCAGCTATTGCTCTCCAATTGTCAAGCGAATATTTCAAACTCAGCATGTCCAAAATTGAACTTGTTATCTTTCTGAACAAAACCACATCTCTTTTGAATTTCAAGTTCCCGACCTCAGAGTCATATCTCTAACTCCTCATGCTCCTTCACCTCACATATCCATTTAGATACCCAAACTTACCATTTCTACCTGTACAACATTTCCTGCAGCTGATGCTGTCTCTCTAATTACCTGGACACCAAGGGAGGTCAGGCCCTCGCTGTCTCTCACTTGTACTGCAGATGAGGATACTGCAATGGTCTCCAAATTGGCCATCTTAATTGGTCTCTCCCTTCTCTAAATCTATCCTTCACCCTTCTGCTAAAGTGATTCTTCTAAAGTACAAGTCCCACCATGCCCTTACCTACTCAATAAACTTGGGTTCCGTGAACTTAATTTTTTTTTAAAATAACAATTTCACCATAACTGGTTTTCTTCGTAAGCCTATGTATTTTATGCTGTTAAAAACATTATCCTGAAAGGGGGTTCAACAGGCTTCACCAGAGTGCCCAGGAGTCTATGACACACAAAAAAGGTTAAGAACCCCTGATCTATTGTTTCTGGGATAAAATATGAACTATTCTGTTTGACATTTAAAGCTCTTCATAGTCTGGCCCAACCTAACTTTTCAGCCTTATTAAACATTAGTTGCCTTCTTTATTGCTCACACATGATATAACTTTCCATTTCCCAATTCCATATTTTCTTTCCATAACATATGCCCCGTGTGCCTATCCTCCTCTCACTTCCACCTCTAAGCATCTTTTGTTTCTTTCAAAACTTTGCTCAAGTGCTGCTTTCTACACAAAACCTTTCCTGATCCCCACCCACAGCTAATGCCTTACTAGCATGCCAAATTTACTCTGTATTTATTGTGTAAATATTTTTATTCATGAACATCTTATCTTCCCTGATAGAATGTAACCTCCTTGAGAGAATGAATTGTTTCATTGTTGTCTGTGCATCCCCAGAGCCTGGAACACAGTAAGCATTAATAAATGTTTGATGATGTATTCCGAGGATAACTTTTCATTCCACCAAGTCTTACAGTCAAGAGGTTGTTCTGTTTCATTCATTCATTTTAAACAATGTCGAATTTAGCTCAGAAATTTAAGTACATTAGTTTTATTCTCCTATTTTCTATGCATTTTCTTACTTCATCATCATTTTGGTGCTATTACATTCTTACTTCCTGCCAGCCCATTAGTGAGAATTAAACATTTTGATAAGGAAGAAGACAAACTACTGAGAAGAAGGAAAGCACACTGGTGTTTGGAGATACTGATTAAAGTCCCACCTCTACCACTTTTAAGCCATGTGAATCTTGGCACTCTCACTTTGGAACATTCACCTTTCTATGCCAAATATATTTAAAGTACTATGTAAATGTAAGGCACTATTACTAAAATCAGGCTTTTAGATTAGCTCAATTTCAGTTATCGTGTTCATGCATGATAACTGACAGCACCATCTTAGAGGAGACAATGTAACTCACATTTCAGACACTACGGAAAACTCTGAGGCTGGTGACTTGGCAAAGTGTGTACATCAGTATCCACATTTTCATACACTTACATACCCAAAAGGTCCTTCCAAAAAAATGTGTCTAAAAAGTGTTCATACCAACACAGAGTCTATTAGAATTCTGAACAATTTTACTTTACTCACCATAAAACTACCTGATGTGAAAAAGGAAGCATTTAGAAAACAGATAAAAAAAGAATCTAAGTGATGTAAATTTCTAGGGGCATCATGGAAGGAGCACTGAACTTGGATTCAAAAGTGTTGGATTTTTGCATCTTTATATTTATGTGACCTTAGGAAAATCATATAATCTATAGATCACTTTTTCTTATCTGTTAAATTAAGGAGTTGGTTTAGCTCAGTGGATTTTAATCTTTGTTTTGGTCATGGACTTCCCCCACCCTCAGCAGTCTAGTGAAGTCAAAGGGCCCTTTCTCAGAAGGTTTTTAAATGAATAAAACAAGATGCATAATGTCATAAAGGAAACCAATGATACTGAAATACAGTTATCAATATATATATAGTTGGTGAGGCAATTAGCAAGTGTTATGTGTCTGAGGCCAAATTTGAACTTACGTCCTCCTGATTGCAGAGCCGGTGCTCTATCCACTGCACCACCTACCTTCCCCTTCTAAATATTTTTTTTTTTGGGGGGGCTAGGCAATGGAGTAAAGTGACTTGCCTAGGGTCACACAGCTAGTAAATGTCAAGTGTTTGAGGTCGGATTTCAACTCAGGTCTTCCTGAATCCAGCACCAGTGCTCTATCCACTGTGCCACCCAGCTGCCCCCAAAACATTTTTTAAAAAAAGTTTATGGACACTAGGTTAAGAACCACTACGAATGTTAGACGATTGCTAAGGTCCCTTGCAATCTAACACCCTTTTGTCTTCTAATAATATAGATATTTAAAAAAATTCAAATTAATGAGGAAAAATAATCCCAGAAACACAGTAAGAGATTTGTTAATATTTTCAATGTTACAAGCATACCTCACGAGGATCAAAATAGGACCTGGCTAAGAGGTTCTCAAGATGAATGTATCTCTCTGGCTGAGTTTGTTTTAACATGATCATGGGGTCAGTCTGTCTCAGAAGAGACCTGGCAGCACCCAATTCACGAAGTTCTATCAATTCCAGGACAACCTAGACAATTACGAGAAAGAAAGATTTAGTATTTTCAAGGACTTCTTTTAGTTAAAAATTTCAGTTAAACTTTTGAACTAAAAATATTGCTAAGAGATCATCAATTATTAGGAAACTAAAATTTTTCTTTTACCTGGTTGGCCTACAAAAGTGACTATAACATTATTTAAATTCTGCAATCTCCAGCCATCATTTTTTATCTACTGGTTTTCCTCCTTCTCGGCATATAGATATGGGCATACATAATTTTATTACGTTTTGCTTTATTGTGCTTTACAGATACTGTGTTTTTACAAATTGAAGGTTTGTGGCAATCCTGTATCAAGCAAGTCTATCAAAGCAGTTTTTCCAACAGCATGTGCTCACATGGTGTTTGTGTCACATTTTGGTAATTCTCATAGTATTTCACACTTTTTCATTATTATTATATCTGTAATGGTGATCTGTGATCAGTGACCTTTGAAGTTACTATTGTAACTGTTTTGGGGCACCACAAACTGTGCCCATATGAGAGTGAACTCAATTGATAAATGTGTACTCTGACTCTCCACTGACTGGCTATTCCCCATCTCTCTCCTTCTCCTGAGGCCTCCCTATTCCCTGAGACACAATGTTGAAATCGGGCCAATTAATAACCCTACAATGGCCTCTAAGTGTTCAAGTGAAAGGAAGAGTTAACCCATGAGGCAGACTTCGTCGTTGTCTTCTTATTTTAGCAAACTGCCACAGCCACTCCAACCTTCAGCAACCACCTCCCCACCTCGTCCCCCATTAGTCAGCAGCCATCAACACCAAGGATTTCCTTTTGGTAATGATTGTACTCATAGCAGTAAAAGAGATATGAAGGAACTTCTCCATTTTTATTTTAAGCAATTCAGTCAACAAACATTTATAAAGCATAACAAAAAAACAAATGTGAAAGTGGTCCTGATCTTAAGGAGCTTATTAAGTGTTTACTATGTGCAAGACTATCCTAGGTACCTGCTGGGGATACAAAGACAAAAACAAAACAGCCCCTACTCTCAAAGACATTATATTCTCCTGGAGGTGAGCAAAGTGTGTGTATGCATGTGTGTGCGCGTGTGAGTGTGTGCATGTGTGTTGTGCAGTGTACAAGTGGGGCTGGTAGGCCATAACAGGTACACAAATAAAGAAAATACAAAGTAGGGAGTGATGGGGGCAAAGGAGGGAACCAAAGTGCTTTAATAATATTTGAGTAGGAAGATAACACTTTTGGTTGGGAGATGAGAAAGCTGAGACCTTACAGCAAGAAGTTTTTGAAAGACAGGGATGAGGAAGGAGTACATGCTAAATAAAAGACCTGTTTCAAAGCATAGAGGTGGGAGGCAGCATGGTGAATTTGGAGAATATCATTCCAGTATGATCAATCAACCAACATTTATTAAGTGCCTACTATGTGATAGGCACTGTGCTAGATTGAAAAGTACAGTACCTGAGTGAAGTAATGTTAAAAATCGCTAGTAAGGAAGGCAACAGGTCTAACATGGAAGGCCTTAAATGCCAAGCCAAGGCATTTATCCTATAGGACTTTTGAGCAGGGGAGTGACGTATTTGGACCTGAACATTAGGAAGGTTATTTTGGCAGTTATGTGAAGGATGGTTTGAACATAGGCGAGAGAACAGAAGCAAGATCAGTGAAAAGCCCATTATGTAAAGGCCAGAGGTAATAAGGGTCTGAACTAGGGTATTGATGGTAACAATGGAGAAAAAAGGATGAACGTGAGAAATGCTTGGGAGGTAGACATGACAGGACTTGACAAACGATTGCATGGGGGAGAAGAAATAGTCAAAGATGTCGAGGAGATTTTCAGCTTAGGGCATTGGGAAGATAATGATGTTATCAATAGAAATAGGGAGGCTGAGAGGAAGATGGGTTTAGAGACGGGGGTAGTGAAATTTTTAGTTCAGTTTTGGACAAGCTGAATTTGAGGTGGGACATTCAAATGAAGATGTCCATCAGGCAGATGAATATGTAAGATTGAGGAACTCAGGAAAGAGATTAGGGTTATGCAGAATTGACATTAACTGCATAGATGTGATAAATGAACCCATGGAAGCAGAAGAGATAACTAAGGCAAAGCGTATAGAAAGAAAAGAGAAAAAAGCCTAGGACAAGGCACTGGGGAAATATTTAAGAAGCCAGGAGAAGGAGGACAAACCAGAAAAAAGATTGAGAAGGAACGGCCTACTTAAGAATGAAGAAAGGGACAACCATTTTCTACTTGAAATTATCCATTTTACTTCCTGTGAACTTCTCTATCTCTTGTTTCATCACGAACTCTTCCCCATCCAGAGATCTGGCAGGTAATTTCTTTCATGTTCCACTAATTTGCATATATCACCCTTTATATTTAAATAGTGTACCCATTGATTTTTTTCTAGCTCTATAAAGTTATTCTCTGGTAATCTGATTAGTATACCACTGAAAAAATTAGTATAGGTAGTACTGTCATTTTTATTATATTGGCTCAGTTTACTAATTAATATTAAGTAATTCATATTTCTTCAATTATTTAGCTCTGTATTTGAGTAAAGAGTATTTTATAATCGTGTCCATTCAGTGTGTACTGGCAGGTAGGCTCCTAAGTATTTTATATTGTTGGTAGTTTTTAAAAATGGAATTTCTCTTTCTTTCTTTTCCTGCTGGGTTTTGCTGGCAATATACAGAAAGACCGATGATTTGTGTGGGTTTATTTTAAATCCTGCAACTTTGCTGAAGTTGTTAATTGTTTCAATTATTTTTTTAGTTGACTCCGTAGGGTTCTCTAAGTAAACTATCATGTTACTGGCAAAAAGTGATAGATCAGTTTGCTCAATGCCTATGTACATTTCTTCAAGATCTTGTCTCATTGCTATAGCCAGTGTTTCGAGAACAAGACTGAATAGTAATGGTGATAATGGACATCTTCACTTCACCCTTAATCTTAATGGAAAAGCTTCTAGCTTATCCTTATTACAGATAATGCTTGATCTTGGTTTTAGATAGATATTACTTATCATTTTAAGAAATGCTCCATTTATTCCCATGCTTTCTAGTGTTTTAAGCAGGAATGGATGTTGCATTTTGTCAAAAGCTTTTTCTGTAGCCGAATATATGAATTTTATTTTTTTGTTGTTAATACGATAAATTATACTTGTAGTTTTCCTAATATTTTGCATTACTGGTATGGACTCTGAAGTACCTTCCAACTCTAAGATTATGGTTTTTCTGGTCAGAAAAGGAGAAGGAAAGCTGAGAGAGCAGAAACCAAGGGAAGCACATGAATTTAGAAGGACAAGCCTTGAGAGGATAGAGTATAGTCAAGAATGAGTGCTTACAAGAGGACACAGGATTTAACAGTGAAAACATTAGGGATCTTTGAGAGAGTCTGAACAGTGATTTTTAAGGCAGAATGGTGAAACTTGAAAGCCAGACTGTAAGGGGTTGAGGAGAAAATGGGGTAGGAAGTGGTAGAAGAGAATGTAGCGTAACTTTCAGAATGGAAAGGAAGGAGAGACTTGGATGTTTGAATGGTAATTTTCAGATATTGCAAGATTAGGGAAGATGGGGGAGAACATGTTTGCAGGTGACAAGGAAAAAGCTAGGCAATGGGGAGAAACTGAAGACGTGAGACAATAACTACTGGTATAAGCCGAAGGAAAAAGGACCAAAGACACAGAATTGGGTATTAACCTTTACAATGAGAAGGATCACTTCATTTTCCTGAGATCTGAAAAAAGGAGGTGAGGATGAGTGTTCTGAGGTGTGGAAGAAAGAATGAGGGTGCTTATCTTTTGAGAGGCAATGGGGAGAAGCTGAAAGCTTTCGAAAGTTTGGAATAGCTACTGAAAGAAAAGGATTGCTGTGCAATGTTTGAAAGCTCAGCAGAGGTTACATACTATATATTTGTTGTAGATTTGGTCTATACAGTTTCACTATTTCCTGTAGCAACATCCAATTAGCTCTGGAGTAGGTGAAGAGGAATGTGAGCGACCAGAATTGAGCTGAGAACAATGGGCTTAAGAAGAAGGTATTTAAAGGTGGAGATCAGTGAACTGGTTTACAGAGGGCTAAAAGTGTTTGGGAGAGAAATGTGGCCTGAATAAGGGTGAATAACTGGGAGAATTAAGAGGGATTGAAGGACCAGAGGTCACAGTGAGGATGAAGAACAAGTTTAGGAGGAGAGGGACAGTGATAGAGGCAGAAGGACAGAATGCTGACCAGAGAAGGGAAAAATTTTAATCAAAGTTAAATGTCTTGAATACATGCAATTTCATTACTGAGTTATGAACAATTCACAATTTTGCTTTGGATCTTTCGCTACTAGAGAAATAAAAATCGAATGGCATTCATGCCTGAACATATTAACATTTATTTCAAAGGGGATGAATCATGCTAAAAGAACATGAACACAATTTTACCTGTTCATAGAGGTCAATCAGTGTTTTGTCTGGCAATTTCAGGGACTGTATAGCCTGCAAAACGGTATCCCAATGACCACTGTTAATATCTGCTACAAAACTCTCTATGCTGTCAACAGTATTCAGTGACACAGTTGTCTCTTCCTGCAAAGTAGCTAAGGCTCGATGTAAACTATTTTCCTTCAAGTACTGCATGATGAGACGTATAACACTAAAAAAGAAGAAATATACCATAAGTTTAAGTGTACGATTGCAGATTTAGAGCTGTAAAGGGCCATGGAGATGACTAAACCCAACCCCTTAATTTTACAGATGATAAAACATAGGTTCAGAGAGGTTAAATGAGTTGCTCAGGGAAACACACTAGCAAGAAACTGAAATGGGACTGGAACTAACGTCTTCTAGATTCCGAGTCCAGTACTCTTTCCTCTATATCATGGTGCCTCTCATTAAAAAAAAAAAACAAAAACAGAATGAACCTTAAGGTTAACAGACTCATGCTGTAGAGAATTCGCTAGCCACGGTAATGCTTGTCCAGGAACTGAAAGGTATTTTTGTTAAGAACCACAAATAAATAAATCAACAACGCTATTTCTATTTTCTACTGTGCTGTTTTCACCACTCACTTTTGAATTCTTTATCACTGTATATGTACAAGTTTAGACTTGCTCCCTCTACCTTAATATATAAAAATGCTTTATTAATACAAAGAGCTTTATATTAGTTTGCTCTTAACTCTATTGAGAAATAGAAATGAGGAATCTGCGGAGTGCGGGAAGGAGGCAGATCGAATGCACTTGGGGACTAAGATGACCCCAAGAACTGGGCTGGCTGGCTTCGGTGCGGAGGCCAATGGTCATCCTGCAACGGGCTGGACCTCAGGTCAGTCACGTCCGCTTCTGTCCTCAGTTTCCTCATATGTAAGATGAGAATATCGAACCAGGATCTCTGCTCCGTGACCCTAGGGTTTTTGGTAATTTCTCTTGGCGGGTTAAGGGGCCGTGAGCGAGCCGCCGGAGGTGGGGGCGGGGGAGGCTCCCGCTCCAGGACGGCCTCGTCGGGTCCGACGCGGGGGACGCCCGTGACTCTAGGCCGCAGGGTTCGTCCCTGCTCTCCCGCCTCCTTCTCCCCTCTCGCGGGGCCCGGCTCCCCCGAGCCTCGCCTTTCCCCAGTTCCCGGTACTTACTCTGACGACTCGATTTCAATCGACATCTTGACTCTCCCGGAGAATTATCACTGAACTCGGGAATTGGCGGGGTAAGAAACTCAACCTGGACCTACCGAGGGGGAAGACGCGGCCCACTTCCGGTGCCCGCTTGCGTCACTTCCGCCCGGCACCAACCCTTCCTCGCAGCAGCTCCCGGGCGCACGGGGGCGGCCTGTGGAGAAGGAGGAGAGGCCCCTTGTCACGTGACCCCGTCAGAAGGGGTGGGGCCGCAGCGGGAGGGGCCTGTGGCCTAGGTAGCTTATCAGCCTCTGGAGGCTGGGCTGAGACACCTGTAGGTTTAGCGTTTTAGCACTAGGAAAGGACCACAGAGCAGTCCTTCCTTCTCACTTTGCACAGGAGAAAGCGAAGCCTCAGCATCCTGACTCTTAAGATACTAGGAGCTGGCATGCACTTTGTAGGCCATTTTACAGATGAGAACACAGGGACAGAGGAGGGGAAGTGACTCACCCAGGGTCGCCCAGTTAGTGTGTAGAATCAGGATTTGAACTCAGGTCTTCCGCTTCCTTAAGGGAGCTTAGTGATGTGGTGGATAGAGCGCTGGTCCTGGGGTCTGGAAGACCTGAATTGATTTGTTTTGTTTTTTTGTTAGGCAATCAGGGTTAAGTGACCTGCCCAAGGTCACACAGCTAGTAAGTGTTATGTGTCTGAGGGCATATTTGAACTCAAGTCCTCCTGATTCCAGGGTCGGTGCTCTATGCACTGCACCACCTAGCTGCCTCTGGAAGACCTGAATCGAAATTCACCCTTTCATACTTAGTAGCTCTTGGACTACTCCTGACTACCTTGGTTCCTTAATCAGTAGAAATGGGGATAATAATAGCACCTACCTCTCAGGGTTGTTGGGAGGATAAAATGAGATAATATTTGTAAAGTGTTTTGCAAATCTTAACTTCTTTATGAGTGCTAGTTAATATTATCATAGATTTAGAGCCAGCAGAGATCTTAGAGACCATCAAATGAAGCCCACCTCATTTTATAAATGAGGAGATGGATGCCTCCAGAAGTTAAATGATTTGCCCAGGGTTACACGGCTAATGAGATCTGATTCCAGAGCCAATGCTCTTTCTGTTCCTCTAAAACGTCTCTAGGGTGAAGACACTTAGTTCAAGGTCACCCAGTAGAGAAAATGGGACTTGAATCCAGATTTTCAAACTTCCAGTCCACTGCTTTTTCTTTAATATTTTTCTTCTTTTTGTTGATAACAGTTAAAAACAATAACAAACCTAATTCAGGCTTATTTTTGAAAACAGGAAACTTGTCCTAAGAATAGAGGTATCTTAAATTAGCCTCTAAAATTAATTGCAATATGTACAAACTGTATCAAATTGCTTACCATCTCAGGGAGATGTGAGTGGAGGGAAAAAGGGAAAAAACTTAGAACTCAAAATTTTAAAAAAATGAATGTTAAAAATTGTTTTTACACATAATAGGGAAAAATGAATTAAAAAATACAAAGAACTTCCTAGGCGGTCATGAAAATTGAAACTTAAATCATTCATTTAGGTTTATTTCTTGACCCTAATTTAAAAAAATTTTTTGTTTTTACATTACCTCCATTTTCAAATACAGTAAGCCATTACTTCTAAAAAAGATTAAACTAAGAAAAGAAATTAAAAAGTGCAAATAGCAAAAATAAGTAAAACATCTGTCGAGTCTTGCAGTATGTGCATTGTTTCATGTCTACAATCTCCCACCTCTACAAGGGAAGGATGTGCATTTTAAAATCTTTTTTCCAGTGCCAAATTTGTCATTATAAGTATACAGAATTCACTTCCCTTTTTCTTTTTTTTTCTTTTCATTTCCATTGCTGTCATTGTTTTCCTGGCTCTTCTTACTTTACTCTGCATCAATTACTATGTCTTCCCAGATACATTTTATTTTGACAGCAGAATCTTTCCAACAAGTGCCTGAGAAAGCCACATCAAAGTAGATTACCTAAATAATTCAGCCCAACTGCTTAGTGAAGTGATTGTTATTGAGAGTGGGTATCATTTTTCACTTTGGGAGTTTAGCTTTTGTTAACAGAAAAGAAAGATGTGCATTTTAATTTTAATCACATAGAATTTCAGAGTTGAAGGGTATTTCAAAGGTGTTCTTGTCCAACACATACTTAAAAAATAGTTTCCCCTGCAACAAACCCAATGATTGGTTGTTGAGACTTTCCTTGAAGACCTTTAGTGAAGAGGAACCCACTATCTACTGAGCATCTTTTTTCACTTTGGGATAATTCTTAGGAAATTTTCCATTACATTAAACCTAAATTTGCTTCCCATTGCTTCTAGCTGTGACATGTTCAGTTAAGTAACACAAGTTGATCATTGAGGCAACACTAGTGGGCCAACAGGAGAAGGGGGGCAATTGTTTCTCCCTGTTCTCAGTCAGTCAACAGGCATTTATTGAGCATTTACCATGTGCCAGGCACTGGTGCTAAGCATTGGGAATATAAATGTAAGCAAAATGAAAGACAATCCCTGCCCTCAAGAAGCTTGCATTCTAAAAGGGAAGACAATACATAAAAGGAAGGTGAAAAAGGGAGAGGGATATGGAGATAGTACCTGGTACCCATTGGGGCAGGAAAGATAAATCCAGAGGAATGCAGCCTGGTGGAAATAAAGAGATGGATGCCCTGGGCTATCTCCTTCAATGGGGGTTCTGTTTAGGAGCCTTCTGCTCTCCAGTCACAAAGAGAGAAAAAGAGAGAGAGAGACAGACAGACAGACAGACAGAGAGACAGAGAGACAGAGAGAGAGAGAGAGACAGAGACAGAGAGAGACAGAGAGATAGAGAGAGAGACAGAGAGAGAGAGAGAGAGAGAGAGACAGCATGCTCAGGGGCAGAAAGTGCTTTCAAGATGTAAATCCCAGGGTAGAAGTGATCTTTCAGGATGAAAAGTTTTCTGGGGCATGATAGATAAGTCCAGAAGAGTGCAGCTTGGTGGCCAATGAAGGTTAGAGTTAGGTTTTTGTACCCAGGCATAATGTTTGGAATGGCTCTGATGGGGTGCTTGGGTGCCTGTGCTTGGATCCCAATTTCTACCTGGCCTCAGAAACACTATCCCTGACATTTCCCTCCGGGCCAAGGACCCTATCTCTGGCAATAACTCATGAGTGGGCCCAGTGCGGCAAACTATCTCTCCCTGTTACAAGAACAAGCTGACCTCTGTAGAATTTCCCTTGTATGAACAAGACTATCTTGTACCAGCAGAACTATCGAGTACTGACTCCCACAGTTACTGTATACGATCCAGAGGTCAAGCTATAGACGTCAATTCCTGAAACTATCTTGTTACAGACATAACAGACCAAAAACACACCCGTTAGGAACCCTCTCTCCCCGTCCCCCATTTCCAGTAGTGACCAAGGTTGTGTGTTAACACTTAATTAGCATACTTGGCACATAATCCACTGCTTTTTCTATATAAGCTTTAACATCATTCTCGTTAGGTTGGAAGTTCCCTAAGGAGCTCTGCCCACCATGGCAGGTTCCTTGAGAATCCTTGCCCACTGTATAGCATAACAATAAATCTTTGTCACCTTGATTTAAAGAATGCTTGAGTCTGTGAATTCATTCCACATGACCCCATCCTATACTCCAGTCTTTGAGGGGTCTAAATCTCTCAGACTGCAACAGCTCCAGTTCTAGGGAAGCCTAATTCTAATTAGAGAGAATAAGGTTTCTTTTCTCACATAACCCTCATTGTCCTACTGCTAATTTTATATTAGTATCCTAAATTCCTGGAGTCAGGAAGAGCTGAGTTCAAATCTGGCCTCAGTGTGACCCTGGGCAAGTCACTTAACCTCTACTTTAATTCACTGGAGAAGGAAATGGCAAACCACTCCAGTATCTTTGTCAAGAAAAAACTGGGGACAGCATTGGTGTACTATGGTCCACAGGGTCACCAAGAGTCCAACAAAACTGAACAATATATGCTAATTATAGCAAATTAGATTATGGCTCACAAACCTAGAGTTTTCCTGCAAAGGAGAGAAGTATTCACTGTACACGATGAATCAACTATAGGAAAGGTAATGCATTCCTACTCATAAAAAGGAATGCTAAGCAGAAAAGAATCATAGCATACATTAACAAAATGATTCTTATAGCTACTGATACAATCTGTTTGGAGTGAGTCAGATAAACATTTCTGAAGTGCTTACTATGTATGAAACCCTGTGCTAGGTGTTGGGGACCGAAAGGTAAAAACATGGTTTCTGCCCTCAAGGACTTACATGCTAATGGAGGTGACAACATGCAATTATAATATATACAGAGATATATGGGAGGCAACCTTGGAGAGAAGGAACCAGCAGGAGAGGGAACTGGGAAAATCTTCTTGCAGAAGGTAGGATTTGAGCTGTGATGTGAAGGAAGTCAGAAGCCAGGAAATGGGAATGCATTCCGGGCATAGGAAACAGTAAATGAAAATGCCCAGAGCTGTAAGATGGAATGTCATATGTAGGGAATAGCAAGGAGGTCAGTGTTGCTGGATTGCAGAGTATATGGAGAGGGAGTGGAATGTGAGAAGAGTAGAAAGGAAGGAAGGGACCAGGTTGTGAAGGACTTTAAAAACCAAACAGGATTTTATATTTGATCGTGAAGGTTTTTGCAATAGGGAGCCACTAGAGTATTTAGAGTAGGGGTGTGAAATGGTTAGACCCTAACTTTAGGAAGAACACTTTGGAATTGGGAGACAATTGAGGTAGGTAGACCAACCAGCAGGTTATTGTAATAGTCTGGGCATGAGGTTGGGTAAGTGACGGGAAGAGGTCATACGTAAGAGATGCTTGGTAACATAGTGGATATTTGGGGTGAATGTGAAGAGTCAAGAATGATACCTATGTTGTAAGCCTGAGTGATTGGAGATATGGTGATACCCTCAACAGTAATAGGAAAGTTTTGAAGAAGGGATGGTTTGAGGGGAAAGATAATTAGCTTTGTTTTAGGTATATTGGAACAGCTCAGTGGCACAGTGGATAGAATGCTGAATCTGGAGTCAGGAGGACTCATATTCCTGAGTTCAAATCTGTCCCTCAGACACTTACTAGCTGTGTGACCCTGGGCAAATCACTTAACCCTGTTTGCTTCAGTTTCCT